ATATGAAGTTACGTTGCTATGCGGGACTATGCCCTTGAGAAAACCAGCCCACAATTGAGGAAAGGGTTTCCCAAAGCGTCTGGCACACACACACACACAAAGAAAATTAAACCGGCACAGCAAATATTCGCCTTGGCGGGTGCGCGAGACCGGTGGAGGGACGCACGCAATGCCCTCGCGATGACTTGCTGTCCGGCACGCACCATCTCGTCGTCAGGCTGGAGATGCAGCAGCGTTAATGTCGCCACTTCAACACTCAGCAGGATCAACGCATGTTGGGGGGGGGGGGGGGGGGGGGGGGACGCCACAATCCTTGCGCGCATGGCATGACCTTTCCACGTTGTTTTATTTACCTCTTGAGTTAGGCACAAATACGACAAGTCCCCGACTTTCGAACATTATTAGTTCCCGAGACCCGTTCGTAAGCCGAACGGTTCGTAAGTCGGAGCACGGTAATCTGTATATTTAAATGCGCGCATACACAAACACTCACCCGCAGCACGAGGCTGACTCATTACATCCCGCGGAGGATCGTTCAGCCGAACAAAATAGTGTCGCGGTTAAATTTTGCAAGTGATAGTTCGCGTTTGAAGTCAATGTAAACAACAAAAAAACAACGCATCTTTCACGGCCGCTTGTTCGTAGGCGCGGCGTTCGTTAACCGAGGACTGCCTGCGCACTCTCGTGTGCAGGACCCGGCGGCGTGACGTCGCCACCTGTTGGAGGGATTATTTCACTGCGACGTGACCGTGAATTGTCGCGGTGTGCGCGTTTTCACTACAACGCTCGGTACCTGCGGTTTAAAACATTTTAACATTGAAATAAATATGCGTTGTATTTCGATTTCAAGCCTTCGTGACTGCAGGGATTCATCTTCTTGGTTCTTTCGGTAAAGTCACGTAGAAGGGAAGTAATAAAATAATAAAAATAAACATAATAAAATAATTCTCACGACGTTTCGGCTACAACGCAGGGATTCATCTTCTTGGTTCTTTCGGTAAAGTCACGTAGAAGGGAAGTAATAAAATAATAAAAATAAACATAATAAAATAATTCTCACGACGTTTCGGCTACAACGCAAGCAGCCGTCCTCAGGTGAAGAATTCTTCTATTTTTATTATTTTATTACTTCCCTTCTACGTGACTTTACCGAAAGAACCAAGAAGATGAATATGCGTTGTGTTCATTGTTGTGTCCTCGTATTACTTTTACTGGGGCTCTTCCGATTCACTGCCCCATTCCACATCGAGTCGAGGAATTGTCACATGTCTAGGGCCGCTATTTGATTAAAGAACACATTATTTCAGTTCTGTACGGGCCAAAAGACTAAATGTAACATGATTAATATTCTTTGGGTCTTTCGGTGTGTAATAATTCATATATAATTTGCGTGAATAATAATGGATACTTGCTCGCAATATATGATTCACATACCATCTCCGTAGTAATCTATTTTAAATAATGAATTGATGCGTAGTAATGTGCCTACTTTATCTGTTCAAGCGGGTTAATGTGTAGATGCTCTTTAAAATTGTCAAATAACTTCTGCTCGCAGTACAGTATTGCCAATGGCAAATTAAGTTAGAAGGCTTAAGGTGTCTTGCTCAGTTGACACCTCAGCCACCTGATCATGAACAAAGAGTGGTCAGATATGAGAAGAGAGAGAACCTCGCATCATTGGCTGCCTGTGAATGTTGCTTGTTTAGCACTAAAGTGCATTCTTTGATTACACAAGACTCTTAAGTGCAGATGATGTAAATGTCACGCTGTGTTTAGTTTGTTCGTGAAGCCAATTTTCTGTCTAAACAAGTTAATTATTGCCCAAGAGAAGCAGCTTAGTGTAACTTTATTACATTTTGCATGGGGGAAATGTTATTTTCTTAAATCGATTCATCTAGGCGCTTGACAATGATTATAAAATTGTGCATAACATGATAGTGGTTAAAATATAGAGTGGGGTTATTAAAAGTGGTGGTGTAGTTTTGGTGACAGGAGAACAGGTGGGAGTGGTTACGGGGGGTTGTGGTAGTGATAGGGGTTGTGGTAGTGATAGGGGTTGTGGTAGTGATAGGGGTTGTGGTAGTGATATGAGTTGTGGTAGTGATAGGGGTTGTGGTAGTGATAGGGGTTGTGGTAGTGATAGGGGTTGTGGTAGTGATAGGGGTTGTGGTAGTGATAGGGGTTGTGGTAGTGATAGGAGTTGTTGTAGTGATAGGAGTTGTGGTAGTGATAGGGATTGTGGTAGTGATAGGCGTAGGGGTAGTGATAGGGGTTGTGGTAGTGATAGGGGTTGTGGTAGTGATAGGGGTTGTGGTAGTTATAGGAGTTGTGGTAGTGATAGGGGTTGGGGTTGTGATAGGGGTTGTGGTAGTGATAGGGGTTGTGGTAGTGATAGGGATTGTGGTAGTGATAGGGGTAGGGGTAGTGATAGGGGTTGTGGTAGTGATAGGGGTTGTGGTAGTGATAGGAGTTGTGGTAGTTATAGGAGTTGTGGTAGTTATAGGGGTTGGGGTAGTGATAGGGGTTGGGGTAGTGATAGGGGTTGTGGTAGTGATAGGAGTTGTGGTAGTTATAGGGGTTGGGGTAGTGATATGGGTTGTTGTAGTGATAGGGTTTGTGGTAGTGATAGGGGTTGTGGTAGTGATTGGGGTTGTGGTAGTGATAGGGGTTGGGGTAGTGGATAGGGGTTGTGGTAGTGATAGGGGTTGGGGTAGTGATAGGGGTTGGGGTAGTGATAGGGGTTGGGGTAGTGATAGGGGTTATGGTAGTGATAGTGGTTGTGGTAGTGATAGGGGTTGGGGTAGTGATAGGGGTAGTGATAGGGGTTGTTGTAGTGATAGGGGTTGGGGTAGTGATAGGGGTTGGGGTAGTGATAGGGGCTGGGGTAGTGATAGGGGTTGTGGTAGTGATAGGGGTTGTGGTAGTGATAGGAGTTGGGGTAGTGATAGGGGTAGTGATAGGGGTTGTTGTAGTGATAGGGGTTGGGGTAGTGATAGGGGTAGTGATAGGGTTGGGGTAGTGATAGGGGTTGGGGTAGTGATAGGGGCTGGGGTAGTGATAGGGGTTGTGGTAGTGATAGGGGTTGTGGTAGTGATAGGAGTTGGGGTAGTGATAGGAGTTGGGGTAGTGATAGGGGCTGGGGTAGTGATAGGGGTTGTGGTAGTGATAGGGGTTGTGGTAGTGATAGGAGTTGGGGTAGTGATAGGGTTTGGGTAGTGATAGGGGTTGTTGTAGTGATAGGGGTTGGGGTAGTGATAGGGGCTGGGGTAGTGGATAGGGGTTGTGGTAGTGATAGGGGTTGTGGTAGTGATAGGGGTTGTTGTAGTGATAGGGGTTGGGGTAGTGATAGGGGTTATGGTAGTGATAGTGGTTGTGGTAGTGATAGGGGTTGGGGTAGTGATAGGGGTAGTGATAGGGGTTGTTGTAGTGATAGGGGTTGGGGTAGTGATAGGGGTTGGGGTAGTGATAGGGGTTGGGGTAGTGATAGGGGTTGGGGTAGTGATAGGGGTTGGGGTAGTGATAGGGGTTGGGGTAGTGATAGGGGTTGTGGTAGTGATAGGGGTTGGGGTAGTGATAGGGGTTGGGGCAGGCCTGGTTATAGCTGGGGGACGGGGCAGGCAGTAGAAGTAGGATGGGCATGGGAGAAGGGATGGGGTTTAATAGAGGAACGGAAGCAGGTTCGTAAAGATGATTGTTACGTGTTCAGTTATGCTTTACTATGCTCGTTTGTATTACGTTTGAGGCTGCGATGATGTTTTATGTCATGGCTTAATACCCATTCTTTAGTGCATGTAGCATATGCATTCACACGTGTCGCGAGTCATAAGTTCACATGACTCCCTCCAGCCACTAGGGGCCACGACATAGACCACGATGTTGACCAAGATTTGATTGTCGAATCAAACGGTGAACACGGAAAAAGACGATGCGATGATTTGTGAAGCGGCAAATGTCGCACCCCTAATTTGGTTAGGTTCACACTAAAGGTTTTTTTTTAGGTCGGATAGCATAAATATAAATGTGTCAGTAACCCGCCACCACCTGACACAGACAATTAGTAACGGAAGCTTGTGTTGCCTCCGAAACGTCGTGATTTTTATTTTTTTATTTGTATTAATTTTTATGTTTTACCTACGTGACTTTACCGAAAAAACCTAAGAATATAATTAGTAAGGTTTGCCACGTAAACAAAACCTGCCAATTAATTACTACTGCAGCCCACCGGTTGAGTGTTGGAGAGAGAATCCACAACATTTACACTCTGAGTACTGTGACGTTTGGCTGGTAATTACATCAACCAGCATCATCGGGCGATTTTGGAACGAACAAAAATGTTTATTATGAATAATATCGGTCGTGAAAGCCGACGTGTCAAGCTGATTTCACACTATCGGGCAAACTGCTCGAAAAGAATGAGCAAATAAATTGTGGGTACAATGCAGAATTAATTAATCACATCTTGGGCCATGAACACGATTGCACAAACACTCGTAACAAACGCCTTGGCACATTCATCAAGAGCACTGCGTGGCCTTTAAAGGAACAACATGTCTAACAGGTGACATTTTGGACAATGGCACTTTTTCCAGCGCTATAAAGAAGGGACATTGCCTCAAACGTCACCGATAATATATTTTTCCCCTTTCAAGGCAGTGTTTTTAACGATTATGAACATCGTACCAAAGTTAAAGCTTCCTCATGTTAGGGCAAGTACTGTTAGCGAGCACCTATGAAAGCCGGAAAGGCACACGAGGGAGTGGGTGCCTTTGTCTCTCCAGTGGCGATGTTTACACACCACACCAGGTACTCATTTGAGGCTGAGTCGACCCAGGGGAGGCCCAGGACCAGTTGAAATAATCGTCACTGGTGTTGGCCGTGAGTGGGTATCGAATCCAGATCACTGGGTTCGCAGCGCAAGCGCGTTAACTGCTACACGACCGACTCTGCCCTAAGAGAACTAATATCTCCTCTTGCCTGACGTGCATTGTGCCCTTGTGTAGGACGCCAAGTTCCGAGACCAGGTGGAGGGCTTCACGGGCGTCGGAATGGAGAGCCGGACCATCACTGTGGTGCACGGCCCAGACCTCGTCAACATCTCCTTCCTCAACTTCACCTCCTTGACCGAGTCCGTGGCCAAGGTGGGCCCTCGGACTCTCCTCGCCGTTTGACTGTTCCTCGCTCCGTCACTGACGCACTCGATTTGGGCTCGTGAAGCGTCTCTAAATGTGACCGCATCACATCGCGCGGCGCACATTGAGCTAAACATTGCCTGTCTCCAGCAGGGGAAGAAGACGTTTTGTTTCTTTTTAATTAGAAAAGGGAATGAGGATAGAATTAAAGTGAATAATGCAATCCAATATAATTTGGATCCATATACAGCTCATAGTAAAAGTGAATAGAAAGACACCTCAAAGAGAGAGAGAGATACAGTCATATGGGCAGGAGAAGTAGAGGTCCTGAGCCTTGACTTAAAAAGGAGAAGGGAATTATGGACAGGTTTTTTATTTGAACCCTTGGTTGCTGGAGCATAACAAGTTCAGGAAGCAGAGTGAGGTGAGAGTGGTGAGGTGGGGGTGGGGAGGGGAGAGGGGGAGATGATCTTGGAATTGGTGAGAGGAATTAAGATAGCGATGCCACCCGCCTCTTCCTCACTCTTGTTCTCACACGTAAGTGTTTTCTCATCTGCGCCAGCTCATAAACTCGCCTACTCTCTCACTCAACGCCCCCCGCCAGTGCTATCTGCAACTGCTCGGTCTCTCACTTGCTCATTCGGTTATGTGTTCGCTCACCTGTTCATCCTCACATTTGTGGCCATATTCTGTATCGCTCACGTGCACACTCACTTCCTCACTTCACTTTCCGTTCTTCAACTGTCGGAGCCCAGCTTTACTGAAACCACCCAAGTGGAATTTAGTTTGAAATAAATATCCCAAAGTAAATAAAACAAACACACAACATCGCGTGGCACAGTGTGTGTGTGGTTTACAGTATTTACGGCGGCACTGCAGCCTGGCCGAGGCCATCGAGGGCGTTTGATGGTGATTGATTCTGATGGGAAAATAAAACTTTGGCCTCAGTGTCCGTTCGAAATGTTGGATTCAGTTCTGGAAGATACAAAAAATAAATTGCCGCCGCTGCAAAGTAGCCTGGGTCATCTCGACAGGGCACGTGAAGTTTTGCGGAGTGTCAGAGAATGCTGAGATGTTATTGATCCACGGCGAATGTTTTCCCTCTTCATTAATACTCTGCGTTTGCTCTCTTGACTGTCCCATCTCGCGTTACTGAAGGAATGGACGGATGAACTCTTCACTTTGGCTACAAACCTCCTCGCACAGAACTCATCGCGAGATAAGTTTTTGAACAAAGTGTGAGTTGCGCTTGTACAGCATTCCATGTTTTATAAATGTATTGATTAATGTGTTAATATAAATGCATTCATCTCTTTATAATGCAGACTGCTTAAGAAACAGCATGCAGACTACTCTGACAGAACTATAATTTTGCATTATAATTTTAAAAAGTAAAAAGGTCAAAGATGATTTCTTGCTCAAATGAGCATTGAGGCGGTCCTCATCTTCCGCTTACAGTCCTGAGCCAGTGGTCGGGTTAAGACTCTGAATATCACAACAACTGTTCATTTTTCCCACAAGGTGATACCGATTTTATTCACCCTAGAGGTGTGATGGGCTGAGTTGATCCCCAACCAGGATTTGGACTCACAACCTTTCGATTGTGAGTCACCTGGCCGGAATTTACTCCGTAAAAAACTAAAATACTCGGAAATATATTGTTTCAATATGTGGTTCATTTTAATATTAAATTCTAATGCTTTCATTTGGAAAACATGACGTCTCATTATAAATTAATTGGTTATTGTGATGTTCCACCGCATGTATATACAATGCAAATGTGTATATTTAATTGCTGTAGGTTGTATTCTAAAAGGTAACTGCATATGGAAATATCATATCTGTATTTATTTTAACAGGCAGTATTGTTTAGTAGTTTAATTCTAAACACTTAAAAAACACGACAGTGTTTGAGCATACCCCCTGCACACAGAAAACGTGTTCATTAATGCAAATGCATTCCTGGGTTAAGCTGTCCAACTCGTTTTCATATGAATTGACAAGCAAATGCGTGTGCCAGGCAGTGTTGCATGAGACTGAGTGCAAGTGGAAAGTTATATAATGACATTGAAAGTAGAAAATACAAATGTTACTTGGAACAAAACAATTTAGTTAGCTGTCATGAAATAATCAACCGTCAGCATTGAATGTAATGGACATGTTAATTATGTGCATGTGTTATTCATAAACAAAAATAATTACGGAGTTAATTATACCGGGATTAGAAACTTAAAATCATAATTGGTAGCCTCTTGAACCCAAACAAGAAAAATGTGTCAGTATAAATCGGAAACAATTTAGATGTTTGGCCAGGGTGTAGTGTGGAGGAAATTCCACCCATTCCAGGTGTATCCTGATTCTAATAATATATGTAAATATAAAAACAATGTCTCTGATGTCCCATAGTGTGGCCTTATCTGGGAGTGCCATTTTCATGAGATAAATCAACCCCACATATTTCCGCGGACTTAAAATTCCTCACTGACTATGTAAATACATCGCTTAAAAAAGTATTAAGATTGGAAACTTTCAAGTGCTTCTTTTTATCGTGTTTATCTAAAACGCAATTCCTTGACAAGTGTCACGTTTCGGCAGTCGTGTTTAAGAATGCGTGTCGACAAAATGCATACCGGATTATATAACCAGGGTCGTTTAATGTTCTGCTATTCTTAAAATGTCACGGTGACTGCCATGTAAAAGAAGGGTGAAGTGCAGCCCTGTAATTTATTGCTCACTCCACTGTTGGTGGAAGAGCCTTTGGATCTAGAGATCCGGCTCAGAGGGTGTTTGGCCTACTCTTCCATGCGAGATTGTGAGAATACCCCACACGTTACCTTGACTGTTATGTAACCCACTCTTTTTTTCCTCCTAGAAAATATTAGCCCCGATGCCATGCTTGAATGTTAGGGTAATTTCCACAGTATGTCTTGGAATATGTGCGAAGCCAAAGTAAACACAGGCAATATTTCTTCAAGGAATGCAGTGCACGGCTTAAGTGTGCCCGTGTTGGCTCCCACATAACTTGCGGCTAGCATCTTCCCAAAAGACACACACACGGTTGCTGAAAACTTCCTCAAGGCTTGACCTTCCCCTTGGGCCTTCACGGTAGCCCCAGAGGTCCCTTTAAAAGAGATGTTCAGTACCTCGTTTGAGTAGATTTATTGGTGGCACCATATGTGTGTGCGTCTATGTGCACGCGCGCAAACTCGTTGCACGCATGTAAACCTGTGCACTCGCATATGCTCATGTGCACACCTGTGTAACAAACTCGTACAGAGATTAATATTTGTTTTCGTGTTTATGTGTGCTGCCCCAACAGTCTGTTAAGGCGAAAGGGGGATTTGAAGCTTTCGTGGCTGCAGGAATTCATACTCTTTGTTTATTTCGGTAAATCACGTAGGTATAAAAAACAACTAATAAATCACGACGTTTCGATAGCAACACAAGCCATCGTCTTCAGATGATGGCTTGTGTTGCTATCGTGTTGCTATCGAAACGTCGTGATTTATTAGTTGTTTTTTCTATCTACGTGACTTTACCGAAAGAAACAAAGAGTTTCGGGGGGATCTTTGTCTTTGTGGAGTGATAGTGCTGTGTTTAGCACGCCGCATGATTTATCCGGCAACCCGAGTTTGATTCCTGCTCATGGCCAACACCGGCGACCGACGATATATGAGCCAGTCCCCTGCCCCCTCCTCGTTTGACTCAGCCACAAACGAGAAGCTGGTGTGGTGTGTACAGATAGCCACTAGGGAGACAAAGGCGGCCAGCGGTCCTGACCACGCCACCCCCTCGTGCCGTGCCGACACAGGTTGTTCGCTTACAACACTTGCCTCAACAGTGTGTTAAGGCTATAGGGGAGAGGATCTTTGTCTTTTTGTAGTGGGGGGATGGGGAGCGGTGATGCACGTGAAGGGCTTCTACTTGCGATAACTGTAGATGGGTATTTTGGCCTTCCACACTGGGCGCCAAAGTGGCGAGATGTTAACTACATCGCCTGGTATGCAAGAGGTTATGGGTTCGATCCCAACCCTGACTCCTGTATATCTGGAGTTTGCATGTTCTCCCCGTGGTCGTGTTGATTTTTCTCTGGGTCCTCCGGTTTTTCTCTCCACATTTAGAAACATGCCTTTAGAGTATTTGGCTGGTACACATTTGCACGTTATAAGCCACTTCATTGGGCTATGATTTGTGGCCAGGTCACTTCTGAAAAATAGCTATATAGCTCATTGGGCCTTACCTGGTCAAAAAAAAATAGTTAAAACTTAGAGGTAGTGGGAGTAAACCCACACTTTACCCCGTCACACGCAAACTGCCATTTGACCAGAGCCTGGCCGTCAGGCAGAGGTCGCAAACGGGTTTTGATTCCTTACCCGTACCCGTAGCCGGCCGCACCAGGGTCGCAAACGGGTACCCGGCTACCCGATACCACCTGTGCTGTCTCCGCCTCTCCGGGTAAAAAAATTATCCTGAGGCCTTCAGAATGTCGAGTGAATCCCCTCTGCTGTTGAAGCAAATGGGGATGATGTTGTTGATTGTCATATTCTTGAAGCAATCAGGTGTTGAGTTTGCCATGGTGGGCGTATTCTTTGACACGCGGGAGCCTTCTAGCTGGCCTAGTCGCCTACGTCAGCATATTTCGTGTGGCGTGATCGGAGGGCCACTTAGCTAGCTGAAGTAAACCTAGCTAGCACGTAACGTAGCATCATCTAAGATTTATTTAAACTTTATTTAGTGACGTTTAGTTTTTTAGATGTAGTGCTTTAGATTTTAGATTAGTGTATTTTTTTTTCTGTGGGGAAGCCTATTGAATCCTGATTGTGTTATTTGTGTTTTACGGCATTTTTGCTTGCTTGGTGGTCGTATGAGTAAATGTGACTGGTTGTTGTGAGTTTGTTCTTGTTTCTTTGGTAATGACATTGATTTGGGCTATGCGATGTCTATTTGTGATGTAGCATCCTGTCATACTGCGTACTAGTGATACATCCTTGATGGTTTCAGTCACCATGTATTCATGTCTCTGCAATTAGTGTATTGTAACTCTCATAGGTGTTGAGCCTCGTGTTAAATCACTTTATTCCACTCGATAAAGGTTACTGGGTCTATGAATATGGGGTGTCATTGTGAGGTTATTCGAAGGCGGTTTAAATGCGGGAGGATAGCACTGAAGGCCGATGTGTAAAATGCACAGCCCACCACTGCATTTGACGATACTGCTGGGTGGGACTGGTGCATGGGGATTTGAGAAACTTGGGGTGTGTCTAATCGTATATCATTTTATTCTCTTCTGGCAGATACACAAAACTGACACTGCAGAAAATTGAAGATAAACTGCCAGTCAGAAGGTGAGTGAGGCTGTATTCACGGAGTACTTGTGATTTGTTTTTTTTATGTATGGTAAGAGGATTTGTTCTAGGCTCGGAGCAATTTACTGTTCACTACAGCTGCTTAAGCATTAAAAGGCAATTAGCATATTAATTCTATTTCACTGTTACTGCTGATGAGGCTCATTTAGGAACGCATTGTGAAAATTCTTGCATAGTTCAAGAAGGAAGTTAATGACAACATCTGTGGCCAAAAATTGTATTCAAGTGTAAGATGGGATTTAAATAAATTGTTTTTAATTTTGTTAGCGTTTTTGTTGCAATTTGTTTTGTGCATTTATCGCCGTTACGGAACATTGCCAGACATCTTCTTGGTTCTTTCGGTAAAGTCACGTGACTTTACCGAAAGAACCACGAAGATGAATCCCTGCAGTCACGAAAGCTTTAAATCGAAATTGCCAGACGTCTTTATCTGCCGGTCGGCAACTGAGCGCCATACCCAGAGTTAGTTCACAGGCCCCGACTAGATAATGTCACTTGTTCGTTTCCATATAAGGTGGCGTAACTTAGTTGGTTTTTTTATATCTATATACAGTGTTAGTTCTAAGATACCCAAAATAATTAGGCTGCCGCATGAATTCACTTCTATTGGCCATGTAATGAAATTGGTACCGTTGAAAGTTTTGCCACCTATTTTTGCCACCATGGCCAGCAAATTTACGCTGCAGTGCACAGACTACAGGTAGTCTGTTTGAAAAATATATTAGTAAAATGAACTGCAGTCCATTTCTCCATTTGAATTTAATATATATAGCCCATTGGTCTTTTGGCCTTATAGACCAATCTTCCCCTGAAGCATTTGTTTAAGCAGGCAAAGTCTGGACCAGAGTTGACCTTCAGGGTTTAATCAGCAGTGTCAGGTTCGCCCCATTTGCTGGGAGCTTCCTGAGGAACTGAATGTTTCGGAATAGCTCTGAAAAGTTCACGTTCCTGCAGAAGTTCCTCGCACGTGGAGTGAAAGGTTGCAGATTACGCCGAATAGTTTGCGATTCAGGTTCCTCCATATTTTTTAATTAAATATTAATTTCATCATTAAACCTCCTTGGCCAGTACCAAAATATAATAATAGAGTTTTTTTCCTTTTTTCTGGTAACAAAACTGAAACCTTTTTACAAGGATTCATGTCTGCATTAACCACAATACTTGCAGTCAAATGCAAACAAAAACACACTATGATAATATATGCATTGTCCTTGAAACTGATTGGTCCACACCAAGGGACGACTTTCTTTTGAGCCTCAACCCAATTGGTGCTCGACCAGAGGACTCCAAAAGGCGTACAGCTCATATTTTGGTACTGGCCAAGGAGGTCTAATGATGTAGATGCTCACCCCGAGCCCTCATTACTTTGATAGTGCAAATATTCATTTCCCACGATTCTCTGCGTGTATGTTAATTAGATATTCATGATCCAATATCCTCCATGTCTGGTCATTACTGACACGTTACCTGCGATCCTCTACACAGTGCACGATGAGGGGCGCATGTATCCACAAATCAAATGCTCTCTTGAAGTCTTAGCATCCTTCATGACAACATTTGGGTTGTTGGGAAACTCGGGGTGTATGGGAATCAAGTACTAGTGCAGCACACAATGCGGACCGTGAGGGATATTTGACCCTCCATCACCACACTGGTCATGTGCCAGCTGGTAAAGGTGGGAAGGATAGATGTACACTGCCCCCTGCTTGCCCCAACGTGTCCTGGCAGCAGCTTTATAACACTTTTTTACCCATGGTGGTCATCGATATATACACTCATCATAAAGGGTTTTGGGTTAGATCGCGTAAGTATAAATGTGTCGTCACCCTCCACCACCCGACACAGCCAGTAAGGGGTTTGTCACGTAAACAGCGTGCAAACTCGTGACTACTTCAGCCCACAGGTGTGTTGGAGAGTAAATCCACAACATTTACAATTGTTAATTTATACTTTCGCGATCTAACCCACAAAACCTTAATTATTAATAATATTGGTCGCGAAAGCCGACGTGTTCAACTGATATATACACTATTTACGGTGGCCCAATCGTGCGAGATGTTAACTACCCCTCTTGGTATACAGGAGTTCGTAGGTTCGATCCCGACCCTCATGCCTCTTTATTTGGAGTTGCATGTTCTCCCCGTGGTCGTCTGGATTTTTCTCCAGGTCCTCTGGTTTTTCCCTCCACATGTAGAAACATACATTTAGAGTATTTGGCTGCTATAAATATCCACATGATAAGCCACTTCGTTGAGCTATCATTTGTGGCCAGGTCGCTTCTGAAAAAGATCTGTATAGCTCAGTGGGCCTTTAGTGGTAAAATAAAAAAAAAGGTTTATCTCATTTCACATTGACCTCTTGTTTATAGCCTATCTTGGACAATTATACTGCTTCGTAGCTAGAGCATAAATGTATCCTGTGAATCAAGCAAAGGGTATGCGCAATGCTCACTGCTGATGTTTTACGAGCTTGTGTTGATTGATGGAATGTGAAAACATGGAATGTGACAGCCATCCCCCACTCTGGTCGTGCGCGGCCTTGACTGTAGTTGACATTTAAGGTAAATCCTCTCTTCAAAACTGGAAAACACTCAATAATGCAATACAGACATTTCTCTGTTTAATAATTGCTTAATAAAAACATACTAAACCGTTTCCTTTGCTTCCGTTATGAGTTGATTATTTGAGCTTACCTTATTTCAGGAAACGTTAAGTTTTTTAAATCAAAAAATTGAAGGACACATTTTTGATACATCGTTGGCAATGGTGCGCAAACGCAAACAGCAGACATTCAACACAGGAAAACATATATATAATAGGCAACATTTAGGGATATTGTTCTTCATAACAGAGAGAAAGAAGGATCCTTCTTTGCTTTAAAGATGGAGCATTGGCCAAAACATCCCCGGTAATACTTGTACTTTTATTGCAGTGTAATTTACAAATGTGTTTTACATTTTTGGATCTGGTCGCACAAATAATGTGCGTCATGTAAAACAATTGGGTACCCAGTTGTTAAATGCGGTGAGATCACTCTCCAACAATGCACCGGTGTTGCTGCTGAAAAAGTGATAAACTGGCCACGTCTTGTTTTTCCGTGCCAGCTTTTTTAATTGACTGTGCAGGCAGAGGGGGTTTACGACACACGTTTCAGTTATGCAATCGGACCCTAAAATTAATTATGAATCATACGTTGGTGGTGAAAGCCGTCTGCATGTCAAACGGAGCAGCGTCTGCAGCTGAATTTATTTGTGTTTCCCTTTCTCCTCTGTGTAGCATTCTGCGCATGTTTCCCACGGACAAGAAGAAGGTGGAGATGGCTCTGATGAGCTGTGCGCTTCCTTTTGGAAGGGTAAGGCAACGTTCCCTTCACCCTTCCTCTGGCTCCGTGGTCCCCGACCCAGCAGTATGTCGAGACATCTCTCAGGGGTACACGTGGCACCTCTAGTAGTCACGTGACCTCTCTAGTAGTCACATGACCTCTCTAGCAGTCACGTGACACCTCTAGTGGTCACGTGACCTCTCTAGTAGTCACGTGACACCTCTAGCAGTCACACGTGACACTTCTAGTAGTCACGTGATACCTCTAGTAGTCACGTGACATCTCTAGTAGTCACACGTGCCATCTCTTTGGGGTGCGCGTGGCATCTTGGGGGTATGTGAGACATCTCTGCGGGGGTGCACGTGACATCGCTAGAGTTTACGGCTGTCATCTCTAGTTTTTAGCTCTCAGCTAATTGTTTTAGGTGTTAATTACTTACGAATGTAATTGCAATGTAGGAATGTGTGAATTGTTTAATTAAAAAGTAAACCCGATACGCTGGTGGGGAGAGTATGAGGACAGGGGATAGACCGGTGTGCTCGACGGCGCAGTGGTTTGCACCAAAGGGTGCACACCACTGCTCTCTCTCTCTCCGTGCACACAGAGCATAATGTTCCACGTGGATGCGAATGGGACAACGGCTGAGATTAGGAACAACTCCACGTCCGCGGGGAGAGGTGGGGGGATCATCTTCAAGAGTTGTCTGTCCGGATTTTGTGTGAATTTAATTAATTTGGCTCGTTGTTCTACTCCATTAAAAGTTTCGCTCTCGGTGTTTCCTGAGATTTATGAAGCCTATTAAGGAGTTAAAGTCACACACAAAGCACAGCAATAAAGCCTCGGCTTAGCATCACGTGTTTTATTTGACTCGTAAAACATTTTTTTAACTTTTGAAATATATTAAGCCCGTTTCTCTCATTTCAGCAATCAGTAGGCACTTTGGGAAACTTATGATGACATTTTTTGTAAGTGGTGTAGAATTTATAATAAATACTTCGGTTCATGAATTCGTATTCTTGGATTTTAAAACAGTTCCGCGAGGAATCAGCGCTGAGCTGACACAGCTGATTTCCTCAGTTTAGATCCGGGATTCAGCCTTTATTGATGACACTGAATTCTCACGTTTTTTGCGTTCATGGGCATAGTTCAGTCAATGGGTGTTTTTTTTCCCCCCTCAATTTTGCAAACTCTAGCCTTGACAAATTTCTCTCTGAGGATTATAAGTCACTTGAGGGAATATGACGTACAGTGGTTGTGATTTTTCCTATTGTGGGCCATCCTCTAACTCGGGGTGATGCACTGCTTACTGCAAGAGTTCTGATTGGAAATTTCTTCGTAATGACATGGAGCCGATAGTTAATATTATGCATCGGCTTATTTTTCATAATTGGTGCCTTATTGGTTAGATCGTGTCGACAGAATGACAATTTTTTTATTCTAATCTTCCACTGATAAAGCTAATCAAATCAGGTCGTCAGATGGGCTAATGTGCTAATTTATTCGTTTATTCAACAGCTTGGATCGTTGAATAGTACGCAATTATTTTGAAAATAAAATCCTCATAACTTTGGAATAAAAGTATCAAAAGTAAAAAAAAACAATGTGGATTATAAAATCTGTCAAATGTTTCTTTTTAGGAACAAAAATTGGCCTGCTGAATAATTTCAACACAAGCACAAACGTGTGAACGAGTAAAAACAAAAAGCACGTGGTGTTTTCACGTCTCATGGTGAATCTGCCGCGATGAAGTTTTATATTCGTGTTTTTGTTTAAAATATCTCGTGCACAGGCATCATGAACATCTTGAATTTGGCAAGATTGCGACTCCGTGTGGCACACTCCTAACGAGACCCAGGGGGGCAGCGGCGGTGGATGCTGTGCGGAGCCAGACACGGAGCACGCACGCGCACACACGGGCGCGTGCGTGTGTGCATGCATCTGCGTGCGTGTGTGTATCCGCGCGCACGTGTATGTGCGCAGTCCAAGCAGAAGATGTTTGTTTTTCTCATTCTTGCAGAACGATAACATCCCGTTAGCGGAGTTCACATACGAGGCATTCTACAGCTTCGTCAACAAACTCTGCCCCAGGACCGACATAGACAGCATCTTCGCCGAAAGGTGAACGCCGCTGTGTTGCGCGGAGCTAAACAAATTCATAATCCAGAGCGCGTGGACTCGGCCTTTGACCAGATGACCCAGAATGTGCCTGACATCTCGTCACATCCCGGAAGCTAATCAGGGTTTATATGAGTGCGGGCAGCGCGTGGATCGGCTACTGCCAGGCGCAGCAGGTTGCAATAGCCGGCTTTGGGGTGATGTGGGGGACAGCAGAGTGCAGTTGAAGCTAAATGTTTTGCTATACTGTACTCTGGCTACTACAGCTGTGCACGGGGGGGGGGGGGGGCTTGTACTTCTTTTAGTTCTGGAGTTAAAAGCCAAATGGAGGGACAGACATTTTCAATACATCAATCATGGTGTGAAAAAACATTGTGTTTCAGCCTTCTATTGATATTAATTTCTAGCGAGTAATCTCAGCTCATTCAATTGTTGTATTAAATGTTCATACCCACTCTCCAGGTTGGGTCACACCATCTCAAAAGATAAACGTATGCATTTCGGCATGGAAACCTGCACGGACTATCTTTGGTGTATTGCTCATGCTCGTACTAACTCTCTGGACGTCGGAACAACAAACCGACGTCCATCCATGAATCAACAGCAGCACGATTGTTCCTTCTCTTTAACCAGCGGCGCCAAAAATAAGCCCTACATGACGGTCGAGCAATTTACGGACTTCATCAACAGCAAGCAGCGCGACCCTCGTCTCAACGAGGTCCTCTTCCCTCCGATGAAGACCCACCAGGTGCAGGCGCTCATCGAGAAGTTCGAGACGACCAACCTCGCCAAGAAAGGTGCGCCCGTGCCCCTCTGCCCTGTCGCCCGTGCCCCTCCACACGTCGCTTGTCCGCTGCCCGTGATTCTTAACGGTGGGAATATGCCATTGGAACCTCATTTTCCAGTAAAAAATATGATAATTGTTTTTTACCCTTTTATCTGGCAACAAAACTGACACCTTTTACAAGGAGTCATGTTTGCATAGACCACAATACCTGCGGTCATAATGCAAACAAAAAACATAACTCTGATAATGTATGCACTGTGGGAATATGCTCATCGGTGGCCAGTTAGCTCTGGGGTGGCGAATACAATGTCAGTAGCATTGAACCTGCACCACTGATATCCTAGGTTTGAATCCAAGTTTCAGCCGCCCTTGATTTACTAAAGTACAATGACGCATATCTGACTCTGCGGACAGCGGTATAGGCGGACATGTGAAAAGGTCGGATATGTGAGCATCTACAAGATGAGCACAGTTGGCTACGTACAGTGCGATAAAAGTTCAGCATACATGCAACATCCAGAAAATGACAGTGACACTTTACACAAACACCACACTTGTTTATGGCCATTCATTGGCCAGGGCTTGATATGGGATGTTGTAATGTCCCGCAATCTTAACGACCTTTCACCATGACCTTCAAGACCTCTCACCGACGAACCTGACAACGTCTTATTTTTTTATTTTTCCCTGCCATAAACGCTCACCCATCGCTCAATTGCAGTGAGTTTATGCTTTCAGTGTAGTTAGCAATGTCTGCAAAACAAAATACATTATATTTGGATTTTCACTTTTTGCAGCTTATTTCGGCTCAGCGTGTTATAAGTATTGGATTTATTGCCATGCTTCAAAGCACACTATTTGTTGTGGGATTTAAAGATTTAGGTCTTTAGAAGGGACTTATAAACCTGCGTATTCTCCATATTTTAAGACGCTTTGAAAAGGGGCAAGATGTTAATTACCTCGCCTGGTATACAGGAGGTCGTGGGTTCGATCCCTACCCTGACGCCTGCTGTATATTTGGAGTTTGCGTGTTCTCCCAGTGGTCGCGTGGATTTTTTCTCCTGGTCTTCTGGTTTTACCCTTCGCATTTAGAAACATGCATTTAGAGTATTTGGCTGCTATAAATGTACATGTAATACGCCACTTCGTTGAGCTATCATTTGTGGCCAGGTCACTTCTGAAAAAGAGCTATATAGCTCAGTAGGCCTTACCTTGTAAAATAAAAAAAAAATTGTTTGAAGTAAGACGCACCGCCAAACTTTTGGCAATCCAGAGAATCCGGTAGTTTTAGGAAGCCATCTCTCAGGTGCTGTTCTCTGAATGAGCCCCAATCGGCATACGACAGCAGTAGGCAATGAGGGCTTTACTGCACTGATGATTCCTAATCAGGGTGAAACTCGTGTACAGTTGTCTCATTCCCTGCTGCTGTCTAAATTAAAATGGCCACAATTTTGACTCCGAATGGAAATTTGGCTATATTTGGTCTAATGACCATGGCATCAGTGACACGGTTGTCATACATTGGTGAGGAAAGAGGCAAATAAATGACATGGAATGTCACTAACACTTATTTGTAATGTAAGTACCCAAAACATGAGGGTAAAAACAAAACTTCTCATGTATTCTCAAAGTAATTTTATCCCGCCTGTTATTCTGCTCACTTTATTCTTCGAATGATAGTGACGTTTGATGCGTCTTTGTGTTGACTGTGAACTTTTCTATTTATATCATGGGACCTCCTGTTCAGTGTTTATTGAGCAATTATAATATCAGCCTTCAAGCCCGGGCACTCTTGCAATAAATATATTGAATATTAACCTCATTTAAAGGGGAAAAAAGAACAGGTTAAACGAAAGCACTTTAAGTTAATGTGGATTTGGCTGGTGAGCAAGGACTGCCCTGTAAAGTCCAGGGTAGGTTATTTTTGTTCATTCTACTGCACATAAACATAGGAAGGTTTATACTTTCCCGGATGTTGCAAAACCTGTTCTGCAGCCACGCCGCAACCATAACTATAAGGAAATAAATCGAGTATGTTTCCACTGCAGAGTAACATTCCACTGGTCTCTCAGTGGTGTCCTGTTGTTTTGTGCCACATTGCATCCCCGTGATGGAATGTGCCCTACTGTGCTTGAGCCGTGGGGTTGACAGCAGGGCCTAATTCTGCCTGTGTTTTTGTCCCCCACGACTCCCCCCCCCCACCACTCCCCACCTGCACCTCCCCACCTTCACCTGCACCTCCCCACCACTTCTCACCTGCACCTCCTCACCTTCACCTCCCACCACTCCCCACCTGCACCTCCCCACCTTCACCTGCACCTCCCCACCACTCCCCACCTTCACCACCTCACCTTCACCTCCCCACCACTCCCCACCTGCACCACCTTCACCTTCACCACCTTCACCTTCACCTCCCCACCACTCCCCACCTGCACCTCGCCACCTTCACCACCCCACCTGCACCACCTTCACCACCTTCACCTCCCCACCACTCCCCACCTTCACCTCCTCAGGCCAAATCTCCGTGCTGGGTTTCCTGCGGTACCTGAACGGGGAGGAGAATGGCATTGTCCCTCCAGAGAAGCTGGATTTGAACGAGGACATGACTCAGCCGCTGTCTCATTACTTTATAAACTCGTCGCACAATACCTACCTCACGGGTAAGGACTTGCATTTACATGACGCTTTAATGCCTCGGCAACCATAGCACCTTACATCGTACATCTCATTCGTTACAATCCCCTGCTGCAGCCGTGTCAAGAGTTACCCAAGGTGGCAGCTGTCCCTGTGTGGCACAAGGTGGACTACAAAGAGGTTTTAACCTGCCAGTAGGGGCCGATGTTGCTATGTTGTTTTTTACCCCAATTAATTTAGGTAAATGATTGATTTAATTTGACATTTGACCCAGTGAAGCATGCACGCATAGTCTGTTCTCTTACGTTACCAGATCTTTAACATCCACGGTGACACAATGTGTACTTATGGTTCATATGCATGCAGTATCAACCAGGGCGGCTGCTGAGTTTGAACCGCGAACCTCTGCAGCAAGCGGCGTGGGCCCTGGTACAAGGGGATATCTGAGTCTGCCCTGTCTGCCTTCCACCCCCTCACTGTAGCCTGGTGCCCGAGCAATTGCACTGCCTGCACACTAGAGGGCTATGCCACTTGTTTATGGCTCTGTGTGCGAACCTGGAGACCCGAGTTTAATTCCTGCCAACGGCTACCAACACTAATGACGATTATCTGAACTGGTCCTGGGTCTCCCTTAGGTTGACTGAGCCTCAAATAAGTACCTGGTGCGGTGTGTCAACATCAATAGTAGGTTAGACAAAGGTGGCCAGGCATGGTGCTGTCCACCCACCCCCTTTTGTGCCACGCCAGGCTTTACAGGTCCTGCTCGCTGACAGCACTTTCCTCTAGAGTCAGTTGAGGCTATACGGGAGTTACTTGTCTTGTGTACGTCTTTACATGTGTGCATGAGTATGGGTGCCTGTGCGTACATGTCACGCTTGTCGATAATCAGCGCGACGGCAAGACAAGTGGTGCCGCTGCCTAACGCAGGCACCTCGTCTCTCGCTGCTCGGTAACAAAGTGGAGGGTCCGTGTTTGTCCCAGGGGGGCAGCTGAAGGGCAACTCGTCGGTGGAGATGTACCGCCAGTCCCTGCTCGCCGGGTGCCGTTGCGTGGAGCTCGACTGCTGGAAGGGACGCACGGCCGACGAGGACCCCATCATCACCCACGGCTTCACCATGACCACCGAGATTCCCTTCAAGGTGTGGCGGTGTCCCCGTTTCCCCGCACTCCTGCGTCTTCCTTCCGCGCAGCGTGATATACGGATTGCATTTGTGTCGTACGACTCGGGTCGGTTTGGTGGTGTCGCTGTTCGAATCGTTTCTTTTTTGGTTTTACCGCGAGTTTGCTGGGAACCATGTCCGACATTTCCCTCCCATGTACTCGGAACTTCTTGGGGAACTGAATAGTTAAGAATAATGAAGGTGGGAAGTTCTGTATTGCTGCCATTTCGCCAAGACCTCCTTGCGAAATGAGATGTGGTTGTCATTGGTTTTATCCTGGTTAGATAAATATCAATACTAAGAACAGGTTTCTGTAGAGGTGAGATGTGTAGAGAGTGCTCGACTTGAAGACTCGGTGCTGCTGCTACTGCTGCTGCAGCTATTGCTGCTGTTCTCATTTCTAGCTGATTGAGGCTGCGTCCTCGCTTCTGTGTGTTTAGGAGGTGATCGATGCCATCGCTGAGACTGCCTTCAAGACCTCGCCATACCCCGTGGTCCTTTCCTTTGAAAACCACGTTGATTCGTACGTCACTCTCCCATCTTTCCTTACATACACACTCTAGTCTAGGTGCTGTGACAGCGCATTGATTAATAATTTTAAATAGGTTATTTCTATCACGTTTATGTGTGTCGAATTGCGCGTGTTGAGAATTTTTTGTTTTATTGAAGCTGTTCATATGCAAGTGATCTGGCTTAAGGCACATTTGGGCTCAACGAGCAAAAACAAAATTGCACAAACGAGACAGAACAATAATAGAGGTTTTTTGGGTTAGATCGTGTACATTTCTAAATGTGTCGTTCAACCCGCCACCACCCAACACAGCCAACGAGTAAAGGTGTCACGTAAACAGAACGTGACCAATTCGTCACTAGTACAGCACAAGTGTATAGTGTTTTGTGTAGTATAGTGTAGTGTGTAGTAGTGTATAGTGTAGTGTATAGTGTAGTAGTGTATAGTGTAGTATATAGTGTAGTATACTAGTACAGCACACCGGTGTGTTGGAGAGCCAAGCCACAACATTTACAATCTGAGTACGACGTTTCGCCAGTAATTACAACTAGCTTCATCAGGCGACAGCCAGATTTGTGGAGAAGACCTCCTGAGACGGAATAAACAGGAGACGACACAAATGAGATGGTAAACATGTTTTAAATTAAGTATGTAAATGTATTAATACATTGAATTGTGACAATTCATCGAATCATTGGGCAAGGGTAAAGTATTACATGCCCTACACAGTCAGTTGTTCCATCAAATGTTCTTTTGCTAAATTGTATTCATCGATGTTTCAATCAACATTCTGCAAGATACTAGCACCATGCCCCAATGTACCCTCTTGCAAGTGATTGTTCAATTGTCAGAGTGACATCAAACAAACTTCTTCTTGATTTTCATCAGCAGTAGCTGCAGCCGTGATTAATACACTGCTGGATGAAGGCCTCACCACGTCGTTGCCATTCCCCATGGTCTGACAAGGCCATAGTCCATCTGGTTCCTGCACGCGAGCTAATCGCTTCGCTGCATCTCTGTGGCGGTCATCCTCTCACTACTCTCGCTCTGGCCGCTATTCTGTCCGCTGTCTTGTCCTAGCAAATGTGTCCTGCCCAAGCCCACTTACATTTCTTCAGAGTAGATATGATGTTTAATTCCACGTCTAGTCCACGTGTTCCTGTTTTTATCTCTCATTATAATCCCAAGCGTGCATCCCTCCATGTGTTGTGTGTGTGTCATTTGCAGCTTTTATTCCACTTCTTTTGTCAGCGTCTATGCTTTACCATCCACGTGTCATCCTCGACAATACGCACTGATGGAAAACTTTCTTCTAAAGGAACATTTTTGTGTTTATTTTAATTATAAATTGAAAAAAAAAATTCAAAAGCACTGCAACCTGCACTCGCCTCACCTCCTCATTTCATCAGTTTGATCCAGGGCACAATTTAATAATTAAATGCTCCTTAGTCTGTTCAAGTTGTGTAACGCCAATACAATAATTGTCTCTCGTTGAGAAAACTTCGTTGAATGTGACTTTTGTTTTAATTTATCGCTCTCCCAAATTCGCAGACTTCCTCGTTTCAGATATTCAGTAATTTCCTGAAGTTCAATTCTACTGATCGTTCACAATGGCTGGCACTGGCAAATATTGAGTTGGTTGGTTTATACTTTCTGAATTTATGTTAACACCTTTGGTTTTTTATAATGTTCACAAAATATCGTCACTCAATACCTGTGAATAGTCTTGAGTGAGAGACTAATTTGTATCATTTAAGCCATAGATTGCATATGTATACTGTACTGAATTCCATGTTATAGTATTCCTTCAGTTATATATGTAACAATGTATTCATTTTATTGGGCACTTTATTTTGAATGTCATGCAAATTTCTTGCTTTTTACTTGGATTATATTGCACCCGTTCTTTACACAGTTGTGAAGTAAACAAATATACAAAAACTCCAAAAACATTTAAATCACCTGCATGAACGCCTTGGCCTTCATACTGTGACATCAAAACCAAACATGATTTCAGAGTGGTTTTAGACCACTGAAATCATGAATTGTAACATTAGCCGATAAAAGCTACGTGTTCTGTAAATGTTTAGTTTTCGTTGATTTTGTCGTGTTTTGTATCGTCAATGTATTTATTTACTAATGTATATATTTGTTTTCGCGACAGCCCCAAACAGCAGGCCAAGATGGCGGAGTACTGCAGGCTGATGTTTGGAGACGCTCTGCTCGTGGACGTTCTCGACAAATATCCGGTACGCACGCAACGCTCGAAACCCTCCCTCCCCGTGCGGCTCATTGAATAACGGATGCTCTGGCGCGTGGGACGACTCTTCCCATGTGCCTTTCCTCCTATCAGCCCCTATTTTGTCCGTTTTGTGTTGTTTAGCTGGAATCTGGAGTGCCGCTACCCAGTCCTGAAGAGCTCAAAGGGAAAATTCTCATCAAGAACAAGAAGAAGAAGATTTCCAAGGTGGATACGGCCCGCAAGAAGCTGGAGGTGACCAACTCCAACACTCCGAGCGAGTCCAGCATCGGGGACGTTCCTGCTTCAACTGGTGAGCAGAGGCCACAATTGGTGGCCGTCACGACTGCCGTCACGACTGCCATCGTCATTGTCATGATGCTCATCATCATCATTGTGTTGTGGATACCACCAACGCATGAACACACAATTGTAAATTACATACATTGTCATCTTCATTGTCATAATTCATAACTATATTCACTGTGTACTGTGGTTTCTGACATCACATTGAAGACATTGTAGATTCACAGCCCATTCGCCAATCCACTGTTGGAATAGAGTTTCCCCAAGCAACGCAGACTGTGAGGGTCATGTTGACACCCCTTCACCACACTGGTCAGTGTGGGTTGGTGAAGGTAAGGGTAGGACAGACCAACAGTGGATGTTGTGGCACATAGAACATGGCCATAATTGAACGCCATTATCTTTATCATCGTCATCATCATAATCCCGTGGTAGACACGGACACCGTGTGGAATATCGTCATCGTAATTAATTTTTTAATCACCCGAAGAGAGTATAGAACAGAGCATATTCCCATGGGAGCATAATTGAGCAAAGAAGCGCGAAGTGCGTTTAGTTCATGCATTCGTGAGACGCACGTCGCACCCACAGTACCATTTTACGTGACCCCAGCATCTCCCATAGGAGTGGAGCCAGCAGACAACTCACAGGCTCAAGCTACACCCAACGGCACAGAGAGAGTCGCCAAGAACACTGACTGGCAGAAGTCCACCATGTTCAAGAAATCCTTAGGTAATTCAGGTCTGTATCCAAGTGGCTCAGGGGGGCAGAGTAAGAGGCTTGCGAATGCAAGCCGGCGAGTTCAAAGCCTGGCCGCGGGTTGACTCAGCCCATCGTTCCTGTGGGGTCAATAAAATTACTACCACTTTGTGGGAAAGTCAGCGGTGGTTGACTCTATTTTGATCCAAGGACAGTTAGAATCGCCGTGCCACCCCCGTGTGCAAACAAGTAGAACGTTCCAAACCCCCTGTGTATTAAGCCGTCAAATATATGCGTGGGATATCTGTCACGGACTGCGCCGTTTGGGCAGAGGGGCTGATGCGTAGGCCTATGATAGATGTCCCGTTATTTATAACGCGGTGCTCGGCAAACGGCGCGGCAACGATTGAGGGCGGCACGAGGGAAGTTTACGTTGGGCTGCCAAGATTTGTGAAGGCACTGACAAGCTCGGAAGCTTTTTAAAATCATTTCTTGTTTTGTTTACGGACACGGTTGGACAGCGCAGTAAATTTCATGGCACACCTTGTGCCCGTGTTTGCACCGGATAGCGACGCACTCTGGGAGGTGCGAGCGAAAGCAAGGTGAAATAACTAATGGCCGTTTGACACGTTTATAGATGTCAAACGGAGCTCCGCACACAGACCGTAATTCACGCGCCGAGCGAACCCATGAGACCGACGCTGGGCATACGCAAGAATACTGCGCTGACGTACCGTCGCTCCTTGCTTCTGCAACATCAAGTGCTCGCTCAGTAGTTTGAGCACGGTGAATTGACGCAGCTGCAAATTATAGCGAACCGTAGCCCAACCAGTAGTGCCTCCCGTAGAAATGAGAGGAGATTGTGTTTTTACAAATAGCCAAAATGTTCGTGGAAGTACCTATGTATGTATGACTAAATGGGGCTGTTAAGGATTTACATTCATAGGGATCATACATGCAACTCACAGCACCTTACATCACATTTCATCTCAACCATTCCAGTGCCCTCCTGTAGTCTAGCTGAGGGGACCCCCCCTGGTGGCAGCTGTCCCTGTGTGGCAAAAAGAGCTTCAGTATAAATAATTCTGATTCTGAAATGCCTCGGCATGTACATGCAATCTTGGTCTGTGGCTTTTCCCAATTGCGTAATAAATATAATTTGCTCATCATTTATCAAATTTGGCAAATTTGGATCATGACGCCGACGCACGGTGGCCTTTTTAATGCCCGCTGTGAAGCACACAGTTAATGTTCCTGCAGTATAAACCAGGGTGGCCTCTGGGCTCGAACCGCAAACCTCTGCTGCCACTCGGCCATGTCACTGCCATGTCACGTGTGCTACTGAACATGGAGCGCGAGTGTGGTGCGGACGGACACTTAGCCTTGCAAGGATGGTATTGCTTGGAGGCTGGAGTTCATGCCTATTAATATGCACGTTCTTTTGGGTGATTCTCTTGAAGTAGTGATGCCAACTTGTTACAGGCGATGAGGACGTGGGAAGCGATGATGAAGACTACAATGAAGAGGAACTCAAAAAGGCCAACACAGATGAGGTGCAGTAACACACCGAATCCAGAATATCTCATTAAATAGGTAAATACTACACAGGGTGGAAGCAGTGGTAACTTTCTTCCTTCATAGCAAGCAGAGCCTGGGTTCAATTCCCGGCTTGGATGCCTTTCTGTGTGGAAAGACATCTCCCGAGTGTGGAAGAGTAGGCCGGATGACAGGGGCTCTCTTGAGCTCTGCTTTAATGGATCCCCTTCCACCAGCAGTGCCATAAGGAAATAATTGTAGCCCTGTACCTTTGCCTTGTATTAAATATGAACGCTTTGGATGCTCAGGGAACTGCAAGCATTGAAGCGGGAGCCTCGGAAGAGATGTCCAACCTGGTGAACTACGTGCAGCCCATCAAGTTCGACTCATTTGAGGATGCCAAGAGTGAGTGTCAGCTTCCATTCCTTGTGCATCATTCTTTTGTCAGTCGCAGGACTTGCTTGAGCAATATGCTCCCCTACAAAGTGGATTGAGGACCCGCTCTTTCTGAATGGAAAGAGTATTGGACTTAAGAATTTGACGATTGGCTCTGTGCGACCTATGACCTTAGACCGAGGTCACATGCCATGTTTTTCAGAATGCCCCAGGGTTATGAGTAAATTATTCGGCGATGCTGCGTTGGCATTGGTGCGAAACCAGAAATAGCGACAAGAAAACTCACTGCGTGAAAGAGAAAACACATCTTTAGTAGGCATCGTGTTGACTAGGACGCCGCCTGGTGAAAAACGTGTGTATTGCACTAATGAACAAAAACGTGACCGGGTACTGAAGGGCAAGCCCAACGAAGCGTGAGGTCACTCGTGCAATGCAGTTTCCTGCGGGATTTAAATTCACGTAAAAAAAAGCAGGTTGGGATGGTACTAGAGTGTACGTCTTATAATGGGGATTTTTAATAAATAAAGTCTAGCAGCAGGGTTGAAAAACAGAGTGCTCCACAATCGTTGTTGTGTCTCTGTTTGCTGTATTTTATCGTAGTTTACTCGCCGTCGATAATTTGAATTTCAATGAGCAGCCTCAACTAGATTTCAACTGTCATCTTTTTTTTACATCAAGAATGTCACTTTATTGTATCATTCGCTACAGAGGCCAGTGCTATAATAATGCACACTCCGAGATCACAGATTTTCCTGCAAAACGATTTTTATTTTTTCCCCATCTTGTATACGTTATTATTCAAATTTCAAGGGACGTGACATCTGTTGCAAAAGTTGTTGTGTAAGTCACGGAATTGCTTGATCATCTCCGCTCCTGTGAAAGAGAGACCTGCTTGGCAAGGCAGACGTGCCCTTGCATGCTTAATCAGGTTTGCTCATTGTAAACAGAACTCAAATAGGCTATTGGATTTGCTCTTACCGCTCTAATGGAAACCTGCACATTCACCATTCGATCATAATCATTAATCAATCTTAATAAAGGCACGTCGCCCAACATGTTGTCCACTCTTTATAATAAAGGAGCATTCTATGGTTTTCTCACGGCCAGAGTTTAATGCCGTCAGCGCTTTAGTCTTAAAATCGACGATGGGCAATGATAATCCGTGGAATTTTAGTCCGGTCTAAGTCTGTGGATTTGATCAAGTCGTTCAAATAACACAGTTCTGACTAAATTAACACTATTCTCAGTGTTATTGACTAAATGATATCCACAGACTAAGCCTTGACTAAAATGCCACAGGTTGTTTCGAACATAATTATACTCACAGCTGACTAAATTAACACTGCTTTATGGCCTTATCACAGATTAGCTGCAATTGTGTTGCATACAGATTGACTTAAGGAGGCCTTTTTCTGTTATTTCGGAGATGCATTTTGGTATTCTCTTCACAACCTGATGGAAATTGTGATGCCAATGTTTATGTAACTGCATGTAATACAAAACAACGTTTTAAACATATATTCATGAAGATCATTTTAAAAATGTGATACTGGTATTAAAACATTGCTTAAAGAGTTTACATTATTCTACAGAAGAAAGAAATTATGTTTTAATTTGACGTGTAGAAGCATTCGTTGCTATTGGCCGTCAGACTTGTGGTACGTGAAATATATCCCGCTCGGATATTCCACACGTGTTTCAACAATTCTCCGTGCCCGAAACAAAAAACACGTGATAATTTCCATTTTCTCTCGCTCAGAGAGGAACCGAAATTACGAGATGTCTTCCTTCGTGGAGAGCAAGGGCATGGAGCAGCTTACCAAGTGTCCCGTGGAGTTTGTGGAGTATCCTCCCACTGGCGTCGTGGCATCCTCACCCCTCCAATCCAGATGATGACTTAAAAGTGCAGAGCTCTGGTGGCTTCCTAACACTGGAAGGAAGAGCGTTCCAGACGGCCGCAGAAGCGCACCTGAAAGCGCGTGATGCAGTGAGATAAATCATGGTCATTACACTGCTGGATGAAGGCCTCCACAAGGCACTGTCCATCATGAGCATGAGATATAATAATTCACCTAAAACATGCACACGAGCTGATTTCATCGCTCCGTTTCCCATATGAAGGTACTTTTAAATACACTTCCATTACTTGGTTGCCACACCGTGATTATTATGGCCCATCAGCCATCATTGCTCGTAGCGACGTGTCCTGTCCAAGCCACACTTACTTGTCTTCATATTCTTTTAATGTCCTTCCATTCATTTTGTGCCTCACAATGTAATACGTCTCTTCGCGATTCGTTGTACACTATTCAGTTTTAGTTCCATTGTTTTTTGTGAATGACCGTGTTTGTGAATCATACGGCATAGCAGGTACGTTACTTTTTATTTTCTCTCCCACTGCTGATTATAGACTGAATTACTTGCAAGCATTTTAATGTCCTTTTTGTTATGTTTTTTTCTTAGATTTGGTATTTGTCTCATATCAGATTAATCTAATTTGATGCGTAAGCTTGCACGACAATTGTTGTGATCCGTAATTTATTTTTTAACCAGATCGTTTGAGTAAAATGTGTGTTGTTAAACCTCCTCCACTCAACACAGCCAATTAATAAAGTCACGTAATCAAATGCTGAAGGATATTTTGGGAAATCTGTGAACTGCCTAATGATACTGGCTCTAACTACCAGCTAAACGTCGTACCCAATTCGTTAAATGTTGCTTTCCAACAACACACCGATGGTGCTGAAGCAGTAATAAACGAGTACTTTGTTCATGTGACAACTTTATTAATTGGTTCTGCTGAGTGGAGGAGGATTTATGATACACATTTTACTTACGCAATCCATCAGATTCATCTATTAGATTCCCCGCAAGCATGGTACAATTTTGTGGGTTTCACTTAGAGGGCTTGCCTCACGGGGACTATTTATTCATCATAATATATCCTTCATATAAAAAGCCCAATTGAGCCCCGACTCTTTAAGGAGTGTATTGCAATTGGGATAATTGGCCAATTCCATTCATGACTGTTTGGCTTGCGGGCGAAAAATCGAGGTACCCAAAGAAACGCACCCAGACGGTCGGTCGGTTTATTTCGGGTAGGGCCCATTGAGCTATGGCAACACGGCCAACGTGCCTGGGCTCGTTACCTGGAGTATGTTCATACGGGGGGTGGGTGGGTGGGGGTGTAACTGTGCACAGGTCGATCCACGGCAGTGCTGTTTACAAAGGGTGTTGTTGGTGTGCCACAGGAATTTAAACTTCTGCTGTCGGTTGGTCATCCTTTCCACTAGTGGGCAGTGTTGGACTTCTGCATCGGCAATGTTTTGGTACAGCCTTCTCAACTTTTATAAGCTGACCGCAGGCTACTATCCATCGATTGAAATCGATTCTTACACTCGAAACGCACTCATTGCATGGTGTGTATGCACAATCTTTGCAATGGTCACCAGCTCCAAAGAGTTGGAATTAAGTTTTTTTTTATGTTTATGTAATCACCAAAGTAATAAAACAACAAGGTTACTGTTTTAAGACTAACTTAAATATAATCCTGTTTAGCCAGTGCAGTGGGTTTGGCTACATGACTGCAAAGTAGTTGTATGCCAACATTATTGTGATTAACTTCCACCACCAAACAAGATTGTTCACGTTTGCAAAGATATTATTTGTACGTGCCAAAGTATTAACTTCCTTTTTTTCCAATCGACTTAACTACATATCTCATTGCAAACATTGTGGCCGTTAAAAAACTCTTCAAAAATGTTAACCAAGGCAGAATGCAGTAGATTTTTGCACTATCAATAGTATGAAAAATGTATTTTCTTAAACGTGAATCCGGTATTCAAAACATTTTTAATTCATTTGACCAGGTAGCTCGGGGCTCAAAGCTCTGAGCCAGCACATCTGAAAGGCTCGGTTTTAATCCAGGATCTCAGTTGCCCATGATTACACTCGGTTCTGAAGTGTCGTGAATTATTGATCTCAGCCCGGTTACCAATAACTGTAGAGAGAAAAAAAAAGTCATTACGCTTTTTTCTTTTCAATTCAATTGGCGAAATTCCAGCTCTGACACAAGGTGATGCATTGCTTTGCGAAAGTTCTGTATCGACACTTCTTCATCTCATGATTGATGTCGATAGCACAGTGGCAGTTAAAAACTATAAAGGCAAAGGTACAGCCCTGCAATTGCTTTCTCTCACCACTGCTGGTCGCTGAAGAGCCTCCACTCTAGTGAGCTCTAGAGAGCCCTTCTCAAAAGTAGTTTTTAATCTACTTTTCCACTGTGGCCTGAAGTCTTGAAGGTGTAGCAGTACTGACACTTCACCCCACCACACATCACCTAATGATTGACCTGACAGTGGTGCACCGGTTGACACTGCTGGGTGGGCTGAGGCAGGCGGATTTAAGAAACTTGCACCATTGTTTTCACTTGCCGCCAGGCGAACCCCCGCACCCTCCGGATTGCAAGTGCAGCGTGGATAACCATTGGTCCGTTGCAGTATTCCCTACAAATGTACATATTTCATTTAAAAAAATGTATATGGCGCTAAAACCCAGTTATTTTTAACAATCTTCAAAGTAAGAGGCTGTTGTGGCACCTTAATCAGCAACCTCTCGACTTGTCCACCGCCATCAACACCACATCGACTCCTGAAGATACAACAAGACCCAGCTGAGCCGCATCTATCCCAAGGGCACACGAGTCGACTCCTCCAACTACATGCCGCAGGTGTTTTGGAACGCCGGCTGTCAGATGGTGGCCCTGAACTACCAGACGTTAGGTGAGCTGATCTGCTCCACATCACTTCCTTTTTCTGTGCCAAAGCCTTCACTAACGCGCGTCTTGTCCCCCAAAACCAGCATGTGGATGTACAAGATAGGACATCGATTTACAGTTGCTAAATTTTTACTTTAAATTCTTAGGTTTTTTCGGTAAAGTCACGTAGGTAAAAAATGAAAATTAATAAAAGTAAAATAATTTACCTACGTGACTTTACCGAAAAAACCTAAGAATATGAATCCTTGCAGTCACGAAAGCTTCAAATCTAGAAATTTGACTTTAAACTTTCGTGACTGCAGGAATTCATATAATATGGTAGTTTTGGTAAAGTTACATAGATCGAAAAAAGAACGACAATTAATTTGCTCACTGCTGCTCAGCTGCCTCTGTATCACTCTTCTATTGCTACTGCAGGGTGAAGGATGGCCAGGACTTGATCCGATGGTCACTCTCCACTGACGTTAGCTATGGCCGTGAATCAATTTTAGGTCACTGGGTTCACAGCACAGAGCACCGTCCTCGCCTATCCTAGAATAGCCTATTATGATTTACTTGCCTTTTGCCCATCCAAGGACGGGTGTATTGCAGTAAATATGAAACTTGCAAGCAGAAAGCAGACCGCGAAGTGATATTCATTGCACTAATGTGTGTAAGGGCGCGGTGACGCAGACCTATTTCATTTTAAGGTTATAATCCCTTGTTCATCATGACGTCCTTTTTACTTTAATGTCTCAATAGCGTCACGGAGGTCACTCCACAGTGACGGTGACGTCAGGCCGCTAATTATTATGAATGGAGGAGGGTGTCCATTTGGAGGACGTCACCTTATGATTATTAATGAGGGGGGCTGTTCGATGTGGAGTGACGTCACTTGCTCATGATTATTAATGAGGGGAGGTCCATGTGGAGGATGTAACCTGTTCATGATTATTAATGAGGAGGGCTGTTCGATGTGGACTGACGTCACTTGCGCATGATTATTAGTGAGGGGGGGGGGGAGTTCTCCATATTGAGTGATGTCACCCACTCATGAATATTAATGAGGGGGGCTGGTCGATGTGGAGTGACGTCACGTTCGTTAAGGACAGACATTGCTGGGTGATTATAGTAGGTATTTCACTAAAATTAAATTCATATTAGTAAAAAGTCTCAATACAGCCGTACTGTGACACATTGCAGAGTCTACCTCCTGCAAGCGGGAGGGGGCTCTTTATCTGCTGCTGCCCCTGTAATCTGAACCTCCCTTCCACCAACAAGCTTTTCTATCGACTCCCTGCTCAAGTGGACACTCAAGACCTCCTCTCCTCCTCTTGCTGTGACCGTGTATTTCCCTTTACGAAATAAGGAAATAAATATATTATTTTCCCCTGGATGCTCACGTCGCACTATTTTTACAACACCTTGAATTATGGCTGTGTCTATACACGCTGTATACATCCAAACTGTATTGTGCTGGGTTAACCAAGGACAGTTTTTTCTTTCACTCTATGAATATTTACAATAATTTCCGGTAGATGTCCACACTCCTTCACAACCCACAGTGAGAACTGATTTCTCTCACCTTCTCCGCCACCCAGACTTGGCCATGCAGCTCAACATCGGCATCTTCGAGTACAACTGCCGCAGTGGCTACCTACTCAAGCCAGAGTTCATGCGCCGGGCTGACAAGCAGTTTGACCCCTTCACGCAGGACATCATCGACGGGGTCATCGCCAACACCATCTCTGTCAAGGTGGCCCCCGCGTGAACGATGCAAGCGTTGGCACGGGCAGGGATTGCAGTATAGGGGCAGGGGTAGACAGTGATTGGAGTGGCAGCATAGGAATAGACGGAGAGTGGTGGTGTCATCCCCTTTGGCGGCCCAAAGCAAAACAAATATTTTGAGGCCCCCACTTTCAATGTACACACTTTTCATGAGATGACCGAAGGGAGGAGTAAGATGAGAGGAATCCTCTGTGTGTGCATCTTCTGCGCTTCAGGTAATCTCGGGCCAGTTCCTGTCGGACAGGAAAGTGAGCACGTACGTGGAGGTGGATATGTTCGGGTTGCCCGTGGACACCAAGCGGAAATACAAGACTCGCACCAGCAAAGACAACAACTCCATCAACCCGGTGTGGGAAGAGGAACCCTTTGTCTTTGATAAGGTCAGTCCACTGCGTTTTCATTTCCTTTTATTAACACACAAAACAAACTGGCACTGCTCAATTATCCCAATAATAAAAAAAAAAATCTTGAAATTACACTACGAAGCAGCATTGCCCACCCCCCCCCCCCTACTGTGACAACAAGGCAGGACCCTCCTGATAGAAATGTCTTTAGAATTGGTGAAGCTTTCCTGAGTTAACAAGCGTAATAATAAGAAATTATGATGGGCTTAGGCCAGATATTTCACCTGTTGGCACCATCTTAGCTTGCAAAATTTTATTGGTACCAACGTTTATTTGATTACGAATAAAAGCGCTCACTAAAACTACTGAACAAATATTTTTTTTATGTTACCAGGCAGAGGTGTGGACTCGAGTCATGTGACTTGGACTCGAGTCAGACTCGAGTCATGAATTTGATGACTTCAGACTCGACTTGGACTTGCATAACAATGACTTTGTCCCACCTCTGAGGTGTGGACTCGAGTCATGTGACTTGGACTCGAGTCAGACTCGAGTCATGAATTTGATGACTTCAGACTCGACTTGGACTTGCATAACAATGACTTTGTCCCACCTCTGAGGTGTGGACTCGAGTCATGTGACTTGGACTCGAGTCAGACTCGAGTCATGAATTTGATGACTTCAGACTCGACTTGGACTTGCATAACAATGACTTTGTCCCACCTCTGAGGTGTGGACTCGAGTCATGTGACTTGGACTCGAGTCAGACTCGAGTCATGAATTTGATGACTTCGGACTCGACTTGGACTTGCATAACAATGACTTTGTCCCACCTCTGTTACCAGGTAAGACCCACTGGGCTATGTAGCTCCTTTTCAGAAGCGACCTGGCCACAAATGATATACAACAGGCCTCGGTTGGGATCGAACCCACGGTCTCCTGTATACCAGGAGAGGTAGTTAACATATCACCACCGTGGTGGGATGTTAACGGCAATGCAGCCTGAAATCTGACACCTGGTCACTTGCAACTCCGATTTCATCATCCATGATGATGGCCAAGGGATACAGCATTGAAATCAGATCATGTGCAGATGCCAAGCTGATTGTTACATTCACAGAACCCATGAGAGAATGCGACGACATGGGGAGCCCTTCATCCAGCAGTGGATTTATCTTGGCTGATGGTGATGATGAAGAAGAGTGATAAAACTTCCCATTATGTGGTTATTCCATGTTTTATCGACTTCATGAAGATATTTGTGTCGATAAAGTTTGGCCACTGCAGGTGGTATGCAGAGACCAACATTTAAAATGAATGAAATCCAGCGAGATTACATCAGGTGAAGGACAAGCATGCCAGCGACCTGGCAGGAGAATGAGAAGTGCTCGAAAGGATAGAATAGGCAAGATTGGCGGATTGAGGGGACAACATTGCCCAAACTAAAAAGTTTTTGTTCAGAGGGAAGGAAACTGGGATCCAAGGCAAAAATGAGGTTTACAGAAAATGTTGTTGAGGCCTTGGGAAAGAAAGGAGAGGACTGGAGAGTAATAGAGACAGAAAATGAAAAGTGTGGAAAGTATGGAGAGATGTTTTTGCCCAACCTACCCAGGCAGTGCCTGGACATAGAGACCAACAGAGACCACGCTTGCATGACCACGATGCCGGTTGACCATGGCTGGCGGTCGTGATGACGAGTCTGCGTGGTTGTGTTCGCAGGTGGTGCTGCCCAGCCTTGCGTCACTGCGCATCGGGGTGTTTGAGGAGGGTGGGAAGTTCGTCGGACACCGCATCCTGCCTGTGTCTGCCATCCGCCCTGGTGAGGGGGGAGGGCTGCACACTTGATTCAGAGAATGAAACTAAAAACCCAAACAAAAACAAACCACCGCAATCGTCAATCACCCTGCCTCTGCCATTGAACAGTAGCACGTTCAAAGCGTAGGACTACTGCGTAGGTTTGTAGCTGTTGGGCTGTACAGCTCTCCAATGTTTTTCATGTTGCAATCTGTACCTGTCGGCATGCGCTGAATATTCGATTCCTGAAGAAACTCCCAGCTCGTAGAGCGAAACTTCGGACAGCGTGCCAAATAACAAGCGGTACAACCCCAAAACGAATCCAAGAGATACGTAACATAGTTAATCAATGTCACTCAGTGTATCATCTCTCTGGCATTCCTTAAATGAGTGCTGCATTTGTCCTACGAGCTGGATATATATCGTATGGTAACAGCGTGGAGATTCCTTCATCCAGAAGTGTATTATGGCTGCTGCTGCTGCATCTGCTGCTGAATGATGATGATGTCCAGTGGAAAAATTGGCTCCCACCATATGAATGTGGAATTCTCTCTGCACCCCCAATAGAGATGATCACCACCGCATGGTCACTTGCAGGAGGGATGCTGTTTTAGCCAGTGACCTGTCAATCACAAGTGGCATTGCTGGAAACATCACACTACTGTGTGTGTCTTTATTTAACGAGGCAGTTGTCAATGGTGGCAGTGGGGCAGCTCATTCAGTATTTGCTTAATTGGCAAGAGTTGTTATTTTCATTTTGAGCATTTTTAAATAACTTTAAATTAATGCATTGTTTTTGTTATTATGCTAATTTTCCCAGGAAAGCCTCACTGCCTCTCACAAATCTTTTTCACGAGGGTCCTGCCAATGTATTATTATTATGGTTTGCAGTAGGGGGGTCAATAGTTGCTGTGTATATTCTATTTGAGTAACGACTTAAGATTAACTGCAACATACTGCTCAGAGCCGCTGGAGAGCTGTAGGATCTGGCCTTATAATGTGTGGGAACCAAAGCATTTCTGTCTCTCCACGACTTCCCCCCTCAATCAATCTTCATAGGCAATTCAACGTGTGACTAGGATGATAAACGATGATTCCATGATCAGCTTCGAACCGGTGATTTTGGGTGTAATCTCATGAGCACTAAATATATATAAAAGCACCACAAGGCATCAACTGTCACACGCAGCACAGCTTACGAATCCTCTTCACGCTGTCTGCTGAATGATCTCTGCGCCTCGCAGTCTGCGTATTGCCACCATACATCAGCACTGAAGTGACACATTCATTCGTGGACTTCATAACGTTCAATTCTCTGCTTTCCGGCCCCCAGAATGTTCATCGCTTTTATCTGCCTTCAGCTAGAACGGTAGACGCAGAGTACCGGGAGCTCGTGAAAAATATTAATTGTGTTATGATTTGCCTCTCCCACACACCCTCTACCCCCAACTCAAGTCGATAAATTGTTCCGTTTCATGTTTAAAACGAGTGTTTTCTACGTCGTGGTCAATGTCATGTGGATCGCGAGGGTTATTTGACCAGACTTCATTCCGCTGGTTTGTATGTGTTTGTGAAGCTTGGGAGCATTGATGTGGGCGGGAGGGGAGGCATAGAAGTGTCATAGAACTCGACTTGAAGCTCGTGTCCTCTATGTGGCGGTGGCTCTGTGATCTTACATTGACTTGCTAATCCCTCACAGTACAATGGCCACCTCCACGCCCTCGTCGTGGAGGTAGCTCCCAGATCTTACATTGACTTGCTAATCTCTCACAATACAATGGCTACCTCCACGCCCTAGTCGTGGAGGTAGCTCCCAGATCTTACATTGACTTGCTAATCTCTCACAATACAATGGCCACCTCCACGCCCTCGTCGTGGAGGTAGCTCCCAGATCTTACATTGACTTGCTAATCTCTCACAGTACAATGGCCACCTCCACGCCCTCGTCGTGGAGGTAGCTCCCAGATCTTACATTGACTTGCTAATCCCTCACAGTACAATGGCCACCTCCACGCCCTCGTCGTGGAGGTAGCTCCCAGATCTTACATTGACTTGCTAATCTCTCACAATACAATGGCCACCTCCACGCCCTCGTCATGGAGGTAGCTCCCAGATCTTACATTGACTTGCTAATCTCTCACAATACAATGGCCACCTCCACGCCCTAGTCGTGGAGGTAGCTCCCAGATCTTACATTGACTTGCTAATCTCTCACTTTGACATCACGAGCCCCGCCCACTTCGTTTATGACCCTTGGGCTACACACATTTCAAACCTTTAAAACAGCCTGCCTCAGCAGCTTTCCCCCTCTTTTTTTTCCTGATGACGATTGCTTGTGTTGCGATCGAAGCGTCGTGATATATATATTCTTTTTTATTATTCACTTCATTTTAATTTTCATTATTTTATTGTTATTTTTTCTATCTACGTGACTTTACCGAAAGACCCAAAGAATATCATATAACTGTGACTTTTGCTGCACTGCCCTCTGCTGCTTTGACAATGTGGCCCCACAGCAAGCCTATAATACCTGATGCTCACCCATCCAAGCACAATTCAGGCTCAACTCTTGCTTCACATGAGATATCTGATGAGATTGGGAGTGTTCCGTGTGATTTGGATAAGTCAGATGTCATCGTCATTGTCATCATCATTGTCATCGTTGTCTTTCTCTTAACCACAGTGGTTGTGGGGGCTCCACTGATGGCCTGGCTGTCAACTCTCCACTTTTACCTGTCCTTTTCAGTCTTTTCCAGGTGTTGTCCCAACTTATCAGTCCATGTTATCACAAAAAATATCTATTCTCACGTGTACGATTTGATGCAAGTGTTGTGACCGCCAGAATCAATAATTGATGCTTTTGTTTTTTGTGCACACGAGAAATGCCACCTCTTATTTGTTTGGCACGCTTGACTTGGCGCGGTTTGTTTATTCCAGGTTTCCACCACATTTGTCTGCGAAATGAGAGCAACCAGCCGTTGAGTCTCCCTGCAATTTTCGTTTTCATTCAAGTCAAGGATTATGTCCCGGTCGCCTTTGAGAGTGAGTATGGGGCGTCTCGTGACCCTGGCTCTTTCCTGTCTCTTCACATCGATCACAGGCACTAACCTTGTAGAGCTCTGCCCCAGTAGCGTCTGTGACTGACTCAAGAATTCCAGGCTCAAGATCCTTCTGGCCTGGCCCATCATGTTCTCTGTAACATTAAGTAAATAAGCCTGCCCCCTTGCCCCCTTTATTGTATTTAAGGTCATTATGCACAGTGGTTGAAAAACATTGCCACTAATCCCGATGAGTTGAGCCTATTGTCCTGAGTATTTATTTTAGATAAATGCTACTTTGAATGTCCAAGAAGGGCATTGGAGTTCGCTCGTGGTGGTAACGGAAGTACGTACAATCTTGTAAATGGCTGGGGAGGAGTGGGGAGGACTATAGAAACACGTTCGATTTGGTGTGCCTTAAATTTACTTTAAACAATGCCATGAAATCTCACTGAAGATGAATGTGCCGAAATTGTAGCCTTAATTTTAAGTACTGCGAGGTGATTGAGTGGAAAGGTTCCCAAACATAGCAATGTGAGTTTAAACCTTGGCCAGCATGATCTCATCCGATCATCATAATGAGCACCACCTACTAAAGCTTTCCCTAAGGACAGACTGGTCCCTGCCAAATGAATGTGGAATTTCCATCATGGGTTGTCGACTTCCATCAGTGTAAATAATAATTGCACATCATTCAATTGAGCAAGGGGTGTCTGTAACTTAATTTCTGAATAGAATTCTGAAATTTCAAAAATAACCACGTGTGTCTTTATTCGTGTTATGTCTCTTTAAAGATATCATCAGCGGATTGTCCAACCCCATAATGTACCAGGGGTTGATGGAGCAGCGAGCCAAGCAGCTGGAATCTCTCACCATGGACGAGGTACGAATTTAAAAAGAATCTTCAAGGATGATCAGAGCGTTGAAATGGCTCTGCTGACTCCAGCCCGCTGTCTGGTTAAACCAAGCTCTCAAGTGCAGAAAGGATTTTAATTGTGAAATTAATCCATCGTTGCATGTCCCAATAGACATTTGTTTTATGACCATCATCATCATCATCAGGGTAGTCACTGCTGTATGTTAACGGTGAGCTTGTGATGGGCTCCGCGTGGAGCAGGACCAGGTGGATGGTCAGGCTGCACCGCAGACTCCTCAGACCCCGCAGCGGCCAAGCCCAGGCCCTCGGCCTGACCCTGTGGCCGCACCGCGGGACAAACACCGGGCCAGCATCACCAACCCGCCAGACTTGCTGGGCCTCGGTACGTGGCCACATCCACACTGCTGCCTCTTGAACACACGGAGCTCCTGCATTTATAACACACAGATGACTCATGTTATAGCTCCTTCCACTCAGACATAACAACCACATATAAAGATGTAAGAGCTACATTGCGATTGTATCAAAGTAATACAATACAAATGGAATAGGAGTCGGGCAAGGAAATACGCTCTCACAAAGGCTTTTCAAAGTCTTACTACACGGTGTTTTCTGAAGATTGGATTTGAGAGATGAAGGCATGAATATAAATGTAAACAATAGGAACGATCTAAGATTATTCTCACGACATCAACTGATATTCAGGCTTAAATTGCATCCAGTTTGAGGTTCTCACGTATACAATCTTGAGTAACTGAAAAAAGTAATGTTCATGGCCCACTAACGATAAATTGAATTTAAGTTGGAGTGGCCATTTCACTTTTGACAGCAATGTATTGTCCTGTGCGGGGTTTCACAGGCCTGTCCCCGAAAGTTGATAAGAGATGCAGCATTGATGAGCATTTTCAAGGTGAGTGTTCAGAGTCATTATACTTTGTCTTTACTGCATTCTCATGCATCCCACACTCTCCTCTGAAAGGGAGAGTCTTGGTCTAAGGCTTGTTTAAATGGAGGATAGGTATGCATGTGAGTTCATGGTTCATGCTGCGGGTCTATTTACCATAAACACTCGCGGTGGACATCACAGATCCTGTAACTTTATTCAAAAACTGGTAGATCATAGATGTCGGCGCCATTGTTCACAAATTTCCAAAACCTGAAAACATTTTGCCAATTATATAAATTGTAAAAACCGCATCACAACATCGCCCCCTACGGTAGATGATACCCAATTGCAGGGCATTACTGCAGACCCCTTGGTGTGGTGGTGTATGGACATTCTCCACTGGGCGGGGTTTACCTTGGCTAGGCTGTGAGGCGCTTTGAGACGCTGAGGTGTTCCTGCGAGTGCCACTGTGAATGAAAATCCTTTCGCGATGCTCGTGGCTTTTCACAGCGGACGTGCGCCTCGCAAGTCTGGACGACCTTAAGTGCAACAAGCTGCTCGCCAAGTTGTCCAAGCGGCACATGAAGGAGCTGCAGGATCTGCAGAAGAAGAACGGCAAGAAGGCGGCCGACCTCATCAAGGAGCAGTCGTCGCAATTGTCCGACATGCAGTCTGGCCTGCTCAGGCAGAGGGCGTCTTTTGAACGGAAACTCTTCAAGGGAAAGAGGTGAGGTGTCGGGTCGCGCAATCGCGATGGGTTTGGCACAGCCCCTAACCCTGCCCTGTATCGACAACCAGGGGCGGTTTCTTCATTAGGGCGATTGGGCGACGCACCACCAATGTCATTCAACCACAGAGTCACGCTAGCCGTCACTGTACCTCTGGATATAGTCCAATCAGCGTCATGCTACGTTCTGTGGAGTACCGCCTCTTTTTGGGCGATTTCCCTCCGGCTGAGAATCGCCCCGAGTGGTCCCATAGACTTACATTCAAATATGTTTTTTTTCGAACGGGGGGGCGCTGCAATGCATTCTCTATGGCTTCCGGGAGGGCTCGCACTAACGTGCTTACGTCATCATACGTAAGCACGTTTCATCCAACAAAATTATTTGTCGCCACCTAGTGGAATCTTTAATAAAAGAAACATGAGTGAATTGTATTTATAGTGAGTATAGAAACAAACAAGATGTATTGTAAGAGTCACTTTATTTTTCATTAATATTAAAGAAGTGAAGTTGCCTTTACATGCTTAAGCTGTTAATTTATCCTTTGCATGGGTGGACCTTATCCTTATCAATCATCCAGACATTTGCCCCCCCTGAGAGATTTTGCAGGAGCCGCCACTGCCGACAACGTCTGTTATCACTCTTCAGTAACAGGAGTTCGAGTTTATTTTGTTGAGCCAGGTGAGAGCTCTGCAGACCACGACAGTGTCATGTGAAAGAGTGAACCTGCCTCCAGAACGCACAGAGCTCCTGCCTCTAGAACTCACAGAGCTCCTGCCTCTAGAACACACAGAGCTCCTACCTCTAGAACGCACAGAGCTCCTGCCTCTATAACGCACAGAGCTCCTACCTCTATAACGCACAGAGCTCCTGCCTCTAGAACACACAGAGCTCCTACCTCTAGAACGCACAGAGCTCCTACCTCTAGAACTCAGAGCTTTTACTTCTGTCTGTCCACCACAGTTGCCACTGCTGTCCACCAGTCGGCGCTATTACACTACATATGTAACAAATCAAATAAGCTCAAACTCAATCCGCAATCTCACAACATCTCTTGTCTAAATCTCACCTGTCATTTCCCTAGTCGTTTATCTCTTCTGTACGTATTAATATGTATGTTGAACTTCTATTGCACCATACATAGCCAACCATGTTAATCCTCGGTGTAGGGGAAGGACAACAAACTAAACACAAAAAGCAGTTCTAAAGAAATTAGTTTTCAATCTAGATTTAGAAGTGCATAGGTTCAGTGGCTTCCTAATATCGGAAGGAAGAGCTTCCAGACGATCGCAGAAGCGCATCCGAAAGCGAGTGCGACCCTGTAATGTATTCTGCCATCACAAATTGAAAGGATAGGGGGGCCACACAAAAAATGACTTCCGTGTCAGGACCCCCCAGTGGTCATGGCACCACCAATGGACCTCACTCGCACGGCCGTGTGTCTTCCGGAGCGCAGTGCGCTCATTGCAGAATTTCCCACCAGATGGTAGCACAGAGCTGCCGGGCAAATCTGTCCATTCCTGTGTTAATGCAGCTGCCAATTGTGTTCAAAACACACAAGCCAAGACAAATCTGCTGGAGGAGTTATTGCCATTATTAGTGCCCCCCCGCCCTCCCGCAAGGACCCCCTCGGAGGTTTATTGGAGTAGCACGTCACGCTGTGCTAATAATAAAAGTGGTATGTCAACAAAACACAATGGGCGCCCTGCAGGGGCTTCGGAATGATGAAGGAAATCTGTTGCCGCTTTTCACACAAACGACATCGCCGCTTTCCAGCGGCGTTGACAATTACCGCTTGCAGTGATGGTCACAGACTGCTCCGGTTGGATCATTAAGTGCTCGTTGTCCAATTTGCGGAAATTTGGATTAATTACCCTCTTTGGTTCCTTCCTAGTAAGCGGGCGAGGCATCTTGATGCTGTTCTTGTGTTGCCAACTAAAGCCGAGTGTACAAATACGCCCCCGGATGAAACGGTCGTGCCGATGGTAATTACGGTGACCTATTTATGAAAATGTCGATGATGGGCAGTGACTTTATTATGATAATGGTTTGCACTTTTGGTTCATCATTCAGGGCTTCAGATGCATAATTGAAGAAATGAAAAAAAAGGGTTTCCTGAAGGGATATCCCTTCAAGTGATGATTTTATGCATACACTATGGACACATTTCCCCAAACCCTTCTGAAGAGAATTGTTAATTTCGTTAAACGAGTCATGAAGTAATATTTTAAATAACACTAGCTGTACTACCCGGCTTCGCCCGGGACTTGTATCTACCACGGCCGGCCGCCTTTGTCTCCCCAGTGGCGATGTTAATACGCTACAGTAGTAAAGTTACTCGTTTGAGGCAGAGTCGACCTAGGGGAGGTTCAAATAATCGTCACCGGTGGTGGCCGTGAGCGGGAATCGAACTGGGTTTGCCGGGTTGGTAGCGCAGCGTAGCGTTAAGCACTACACCCACCGCTCCTCACACACCACACACGCACAGACACACACACAGACACACACACAGACACACGCAGACACACACAGACAGAAACACACACACAGACAGCACGCTAACCACTACACTACCGTTCCCCCTACACAACACACGCGCGCGCGTCCATAGGTACACATACACGCGCTTGCTGCAGACACACACGACTTTCAGGGTGCATACGGCAGTAAACGACTGAAATAATAAAGCGGCAATGCTGTGTAAGGAACGCCTTAGACCCGCATTATACATTTGTGTAATGCGAGCGTAAACACACAAACACACACAAACACATACACAATACACACACACATACATGCAGACACACAGACAGACACATAACACACATACATACACACACATACAAACACAGAAACACATACACACACATACATAGACACACACATACATACACACAAACACATCCACAGACGTACATACACACATACATACAGGCACGCAGACATACACATAAACACATACAAAAAAACCCACATACATACACACACACATACATACACACAAACACATGCACACACATACATACACACATGCATACAGACACACAGACATACACATAAACACATACACACATACACATGACCCGGCTTCGCCCGGGACTTGGATCCACCACGGCGGCAAAACCGACATACATACACACACAGACATACACACAAACACATACACACACATACATACACACATGCATACAGACACACAGACATACACATAAACACATACACATGACCCGGCTTCGCCCGGGACTTGGATCTACCACGCCCAGCCGCCTTTGTCTCCCAAGTGCCGATGTTAATACGCCACACCAGTTACTCGTTTGAGGCTGAGTGGACCTAGGGGAGGTTCAAATAATTGTCACCGGTGGTGGCCGTGAGCGGGAATGGAACTGGGTTCGCCGGGTTGGTAGCGCAGCGTAGCGTTAAGCACTACACCCACCGCTCCTCACACACCACACACGCACAGACACACACACAGACACACGCAGACACACACAGACAGACACAGACAGACACACACACACACAGACACACAGACAGCACGCTAAGCACTACACTACCGCTCCCCACACACCACACACGCACACACACAGACACACACACAGACACACGCAGACACACACAGACAGACACAGACAGACACACACACACACAGACACAGACAGCACGCTAAGCACTACACTACCGTTCCCCCTACACAACACACGCGCGCGCGTCCATAGGTACACATACACGCGCTTGCTGCAGACACACACGACTTTGAGGGTGCGTAAGGCAGTAAACGACTGGAATAATAAAGCGGCAATGCTGTGCGAGGAACGCCTTAGACCAGCAACACATTTGTGTAATGCGAGCGTAAACACACAAACACATACAAACACATACACACACATACATACAAAGACAAAGATCCCCCGTATAGCCTGAACAGACTGTAGGGGCAAGTGCTGTTAGCGAGCACCTATGAAGGCCGGAACGGTACACGAGGGGGTGGGTGGCCAGCACCACGCCCGACCGCCTTTGTCTCCCTAGTGGCGATGTTTACACACCGCACCAGGTACTCATTTAAGGCTGAGTCGACCTAGGGGAGGCCCAGGACCGGTTCAGATAATCGTCACTGGTGTTAGCCGTGAGCGGGAATCGAACCCGGGTCGCCAGGTTCATAGCGCAGCGCGCTAACCGCTACACTACCGCTCCCCACACACATACATACACACACATACACACAAACACATACACACAGACATACACATACACACAAACACACACATACATGCACACAAACACATACACAATACACACACACATACATGCAGACACAGACAGACACATAACACACATACATACACACACATACACACACATACATATACACACACATACATAGACACACACATACATACACACACACATACATACACACAAACACATGCACACACGTACATACACACATACATAGAGACACGCAGACATACACATAAAGACATAAAAAAACCCACATACATACACACACACATACACACAAACACATACATACACATACATACATACACACATACACACATACATAGAGACACACAGACATACACATAAACACAAACACACATACACATGACCCGGCTTCGCCCGGGACTTGGATCCACGATGCCCCGCCGCCTTTGTCTCCCCAGTGACGATGTTCACACACGACAGCAGTTACGCTTTTGAGGCTGAGTGGACCTAGGGGAGGGCCAGGTCCGTTTCAAATAATCGTCAGCGGTGGTGGGCGTGAGTTGGAATCGAACTGGGGTCGCTCAAGCAGCTTAATGACTGTTTGTACAAAGAACATATAAAGAATCGATTATAATAACCAGGCAAGAGTCCACATTATAGACTGCCAGTACACGCACTCAGCTTCATAAGCAGGCTAGAGTGTACATGATAGAGTGGCAGTACGCTCACCGAGCTTAATAAGCAGGCTACAGTGTACATGATAGACTGGCAGTACGCTCACCCAGCTTAATGAGTATTTGTACAGTGAACATTAAAGTAATCGATTGTTGGCGCGTTGGGTTTAATAGTAATATTAATAGCACACATTGTGGTGGGGGTGTAGTGAAGAGTAGGAAAAACTTTGATGAATTTACCTCAGAGTGGCGTGGTGGGTGTCGAGGCCTAGTAGCGTGCAAAGCCTGCGGCCTCGCCTAAAATTGTCGGCTTGGAAGAGGCAGGGTACGGGTGGCGTTCCTTCCCCCCCCCCTAGCGCTCCAACAATACTGTGTAATGGCTATTATTTAATTAAATACGGAGCTTATGAAAGTGGCGAAGGCGTGGCTAGCCGTTGGCAGGGGCAACCGCCGTCCAATGAAACTGCAGCCCTTGGCGAAGGCGTGGCTAGCCGTTGCCAGGTCCAATGAAAGCGGCGAAGGCGTGGCTAGCCGTTGCCAGGGGCAACCGCCGTCCAATGAAAGTGCGTATGGGCCAAAGTCCACACACACACACACAGACAGACATGAACGATTTTATATATATAGATACCAAAGTATGAAATTGCAATTAGTTTTGCATTACGTCTTGAAATATTCACTCACAAAAAAATGTAACTTTTTTCCACCTGTTGAAACGATGGTCAAATTATGTTAGTCAATCGGCAGGTTGCAAAGGGTGGGCCAAAGCGTGGGGGTAATCCCACCACTTCCACGACGTGTGGCCAGCATGCGTCAGGGTAAAACCCTCTCGAGGGGCTCTCTCGTGGGCTACCTGTAGTAGTGGAGGCCTTTTCACCAACAGTCGTGTGAGCAAGCAATTGCAGGGCTGCACCTGAACCTCTTATTGTGCGCGTGTGTGCGCGCTGCAGTGTGGATTGCAAGGAGCCATTCGTGGACTCGGAATTGAGCCGCTCCTTGACCGAAATGCGCAAAAAGCAGCAGGAGGATCTTGTGCTGCTGAGGCAGGAGCACTACGCCCAGGAGCTGCGCAAGAGGGGGCAACACAACGCACAGGTGGGCACGGGGCAGCAGGTCGAGGAGTGAGCGGTGTGCCACACGATGACAGAGGCTCCGGACTTCTCCACGTTGCGCCTGATGACTTCACTTGCAATCGCATTCGATGTATATGCGTGTACGTGGAACTTCTTTCGCGCTGTACGTAGCCAACTGTACCAATCGGAGGGGCTATATCCTTGTCTGTTGACATGTTAGCATAATAGTACACTCTGTATCTGTTTAATGTTTGTGTAACTTTAATGTAATCACACTATGATCAAATTTCGATTTAAAGCTTTCGTGACTGCAGGGATTCATCTTCTTGGTTCTTTCGGTAAAGTCACGTAGAAGGGAAATAATAAAATAATAAAAATAAAACGTAATAAAATAATTCTCACGACGTTTCGGCCACAACGCAAGCAGCCGTCTTCAGGTGAAGAACAGGTCTGTCGGAAAGACAGCGTCTGAATGAGCACCACCAGGCTTGGCAGCGTATATTTAAGACACTATGATCAGTTTAGAAATAATCTGATGAGCCAACGTATGCTGCAAGGAACTTATTGTTTCACATTGATTTATGTTTTTGGAATATTTTTCTATTTCTCATGTGTGACTGAGTTGCGTTTGCTCCAATTCCTATTCTCTTCGTTAGCTGTGCCTTGTTTTATTGGTTTGTTTTCAGTAATTTTGGTGACCCAGGGTCTCTCTTGCAAATGACACTCATCCTGGTCTCCTGAGTTCTCACCCGGTTAAATACAATTTAAAGGTGAAACTTGAAACACATTAAGTGGGCATGTAATGTGAATGCATCGGGGAATGGATGCAAGTTTGATTCTCACGCTCACGGCTTAATTGCAGCCTGGTTTTGTTTATCCGGCTTGGCCACCAGCAAAATATGTCAAGACCCACCACGCCACACCCAGTGTACCTTTTGTTATAGCTTTGCCTGCCGGTCATGTGCCTGTTGCAGTCTACCAGCGACTGATAACATATTCAGGGAAAAAATTATCCCTGCCGACACTCACGATGATGCACACATCAAATTGCGCGTTTATGAATTCGTTAATGACAATGTATGCAATGCACTTGCAAGCGAAGAACAAGGTTCTTTGGTGTGACGTAAACAACACAAAAGTAAAACCACAATAAGCAACATTCAATTCCATTCTTGCACACGGCGATACGTTTGGGCGCTAAATGCCAATGTCGAGGTCTGCTGGCCATGAGAGGGCTTCGGGAGAGAGTTCCGTGCGGTTTTGCTGTTCCTCCTCCTCCTCCGTTGAAGCAGCACGGGCAGCAGTGGCCTACTGCGTGTGGTCGATGTTTGGGTTGCAGGGCCACAATCGCACTGCCACGGCTTGTCATTGATTCTTCCATTTACGAAGGAGACGTGTGCATCGCCTGTTGTTGTTTTGGCAATATTAATGGTAGTTGGCATAGGGCACCCTTATCAGTATGTTCAATATAGCTAGGGAGTTACATGACTGTCTCCGTGAATTCCATATAACTTGGTGGAATTAGTATGGGCCTTACATTCACTGTCACGTATTTTACAAAGCGACATTTAACCTCTGTGGAACCCACGTAAACACCTGGAAAGGGAATTGCTAAAGCATCAAGGGCTACAACACCAACTTGTTTCATGAAGACGGGAACACTGCCTCTCTACGATTGAAAAACATCTCCGATTATATATATTTCCTCTTTAGGCCAGTGTTGTGGATGAATGTGTTGAATGTTGTGCTGTAATGTACGTGTGCGCCACTGCCAACCCGGCCTCCTTTCCTACAGATTAATGGCAGCATATTAAAGATGTAATTTTAGATTTGTTATCCGCACTGCCAACCCAGTATCAGCTGCTTTGTTTAACCTGCTCCGTGAAATGCTGAGGACGCACTTTGCTGTTGCCCACAATTTAAATTTATATCCGGTGTGTGTTTTTTTCATTTTTTTTTGCTAACCTCATTTCCCCCCCCCCTCTCTTTGTAGATGTATGAGAAGCTGCTGGAGCTGGCTCAGGAGAGCTACGCGAGCCTACAGAAGAAGCTGAAGGACGTGTGCGAGAAGTGAGCACGGCCGGAGAATCGTTCGCGCTGCGTAACCCGAGTGCCGCCATAGCACACTTGTCTCAACAACGTCCCTCGCTGTGCACAACCACATGTCGCACAACGATAGATTACATCTCTCTCACCAATGCATCTTCCGAGAATTAACCGGTGCACGTTGCCGCAGCTATTTATTTTGTTATTATTGAATATAATTTTAAGGGCAGTACGTGCACACGGTATGCACTTCTCTTTGCACCGATAAGCGCATGCTTGCAGTCGCACTGCGAGGCAGAAAGAGAAACTTATGGATGAGAGAACATATGCAGCTGCAGAGGCATGAGTTCGACTGTTAAGAAAAGGAAGTGGGCTTGGGGAATGACACGGAGGAGGGAAGCACACCCTAGAGGGACGTCCTCCTTGGAGATGGAGCTTTGAAATCAGCCCGTGTGGACGTGCAAGATGGCTTGTTGCATTGCAGGGCCACAAGAGATGGGGGCAGCTTGGAGAGGCCTTCATCTGTCAGTGAATCGATCATGATGGTGTTGATGATTCATGCGCACAGAGTGTTCACAGTTCCTTTAGCAAGAACCAGAAGAGTAATCTCGAGATGGTATCCCTTTTGTAACCTACCGCACATCTGCAAAGAATGAAGTGATCAAGCGGGCAGTAACCTATGCCCTGTCCTGGCCTGTATGACGATTAGGGTTGCAGTGTGCACATTTACAGACGAGCCATTGTCAAGTGAGATCATCGGTTAGTTACCTTCTCAAATCGCAGCCAGCGAGAGACCCAGAAGATGAAATGCAATCCGTTAAAGCACTAGCAAAGAGGCAAGTGATAGCGTTCTATCTGTCGGAAAGAGAAACGCAACCAGGCAGAAGAAACATAACCACACAAGCCAGTGAAAGTCTTCCGTTCAGCCGTGAAATGAAACGTAACGGAACAATCGGCAGGGCAGGACAACAATATAACATTGTACCTCTTTGTCACGGGGAGTGCATAGACATTTAAATTTTCTTCTGCTTACAGATGCATGATAAAACTAATACATAGTTGACCGTTCATGCTGTGTAGGTTGTCGTGGTTGTGCTGCTCGTTGTTTGGCGTGATGTCCGACGTTTCGCGACGCGTGCTGTGGAGCTCATTCATATCGAACTGAAGAAGCTCCCAGCGGCACGTGGGGCAAAACGTTGGACATTATGCCGAACAAGACCCGAAAACACATCGGAGAGCAAACGTATATCCCGTATATATATAAATAGAAAGAGTTGAGGATTTCTTATCACTGCCTGCGTGAAAAATAGCAAAGCTTTAATATGAATTTGTATTTATTTCAGATATCAGAGAGTGCATTCTCTTGTATTGTGTACACCGAAGTCTGGGATTTACTGCATTAAGTAATGTTTTTTACAGGATCAGAAATGAATTTTCCTGCTTCAGCTGCAAAAAATGTAGCATTCAGGAGCCTCCTTTTCCATTTTGTGCTTATTCCTGCAAAAATTCCATCTATTTGGCATTCCTTCTTTTAAACGCGTCCCGTGGGGATTCATTGATAGGGCGCGGAGCTCTGAAATGTCTATCGGGGGATTCATTAAACTCCACTTTATTTTGAAAAATGACCCGGTTCGGGTTTTCTAGAGAACCCGCGCCAGGTGTGGCCAACGCAGGTTATTCTAATGATGGATCGCCCTCCGCACATTTCACATTAAACTCCGTGGCTTCTTACCTGACGTGGCTGCGATGAAAAACTTGAAGCGACTCATTTTTCTACGTAAGGAGCAATTCAATCCCCCACCCACCCACCCACGCTGCCCCCCCCCTCGCCCCCCCGCAACCCACCACCCTGCGGGTCACTGCTGTGGCATGCACGTGCTCCTTGTCACCTCCCGTCAGGATGACGTCAGTGTAGAGAGCAAGCCCCATGCTCTTGCCAGATGCAGTCGCTCAGCTCGTCTTACGCCAATGAAAGCAAAGCGTGGTTTATCACCGTACAGGAATGTTAATCAGTGTTTGCGCTGAAATGTTGTCATCATGGCCCCCCCCACCTCCCCAACCTCCTTGTACAACATATATTCGTAATTGTCATTCATTAGACGATCATCAACATTATTCAACGTAAGCGTTATTATTTATTTATCCAATATGGTTAGGGTGGCTTGGCGAGAAAGTACCGTCTTCCAAAATAATTGGCCAGCCTGGAAGAGTCGGCCTATACCCCTCTGGAGGGTGTCTCTTGACTGAGCTCCTTCTCGTGGTGGCCCTTCCACCAGCAGTGGCGTTTGCAGGCAATTTCAGCGCCGTACCTTTACCTACCGTCTACCGACCACCTAAAGTGGTACACTTGGCCAGAAATTCATCGTTTACAACTCCGCACCACTCACTGGCGCGCGTGGTCAAGTCGCGGCAGATCGTCAGTTTTTTTCCCGTCATCGTCATTGATGTTGTCGCCCGTGCCCTCTGCGTCCCAGAGAGGAGAAGGACACGAGGAAGCAGATGGACACGGTTCGGCAGGAGCAGCTGGAGAACGCCTCTAAGGACGTGAAGGACAAGAAGGAGCTGGAGAGGTAGACTCGGGGGGATGTGACGACTGTGGGGCGCCTCGACGGCAAGGAGCCCCCCCCCCCCCTCGCCACGGCTCGCTGGCTCGCACCTCTCCCGTGCAGGTCTAGAACGCGCACGGTAGAGGGCAGCACGCGTTGCCAGGCAGGTTGGACAAGTCTCACGGCCCTGCGGGGACTATTCCTGCGTTTGCTAACAAAAAATGCATAAGGCAAAGGATTGGCAATTATCAGATGCTTAATTGCCTAAGCAATTTAAAGCCGCTGAGATCACATCTCATAATCAATCATTCCAATTGCCCTGCTGCAGTCTGGTCAAGGGGACCCCCAATGGCAGCTCTCCCTGTGTGGCGAAGGTGTACGTTAGCACGGGCGCGCAAATGGCATAAGCCAGGCGATGTAGTTCAACAAAATTGTCAAGAGGTGAATTTAGTTTGAAGTGTCTCCATACTCAAATGAGCTTCTGTGGGTGCTCATCATATTGTTTGTCCTGATCCTTTGGGAGAAATTCTATATTGGTATGGCAGCGGCGAGTGTACAAGTGGACTGCTTTCATCACGAAATTGATGCACAATTGACGATAAACTTTTTGATAAAAAAAATATATACTCAGCAGGTCCGTCAAATAACATTGTGGCCATAATGGGGGAAAGTATATATATATATAACAAGCGATGTTTTGGGCAGTGGCACTTCCTCATAGCATATAAATCAGAAGAGCCATTACCTGAAATATCACCTGTTTCTATGTTTCATTTTGGACATCACGGTGGCGAGATGTTAACTACCTCGTCTGGTATACAGGAGGTCGTGTGTTCGATCCCGACCGTGACGCTTGTATATTTGGAGTTTGCGTGTTCTCCCTGTGGTCGTGTGGAATTTTGTTTGGGACCTCCGGTTTTACTCTCCACGTGATAAGCCATTTCCTTGAGCTATCATCTGTGGTCAGGTTGCTTCTGAAAAAGAGCTCAGTGGGTCTTACCTGGTAAAATTAAAATAGTTAAGTTTAGTTTGTGGTTTTAAGACATTGCTATTGAAAAATGTGTGTTTTTTTTTTGTTAATTGCCAATGCAGCATTACCAAATTATTTGTTAATTTTAAAAAAATATTATTATTATATGCTTGTTTTCTTTTTAAAGCAGTGCTATTAACAAATGTGATTCACAGATATATTTTCTGCACATGTACACATTAATTAAACTCTTTAAATGGAGAATGGCAATAGGCTTTAGAACAAGTACTGGAATAAAATACTTCAAAATATACTCTTTACACAAAGTTTAAAAACTTTTATTTTAATTTCTCACCATCTAAAGTTACAAGTGCGTGTGCATGTTTATAACGGTGGAGTCCACATTACACACTTGGAATGTATAATTGCATTGACTGACTCTTCATGAGTTAACACCGATCGCTGGACGGTGGCAAATTCCTGGTGCTGTTCATATTCCCAGGTTTGCACAATAATGTCATTTCTTTACAGGCAAAAGAACCAGATCAATACCATGCACATACAGGACACAGTTGTCAAGGTTAAAACAGTAAGTGAGCATTTCCATTGCATGTAAAGGTTTTGTGTTAATGAACACTTGGAGGCTCCAAACTCACATACCAGCACATGTCCTGTGCTTCTGGTGAAATATGTTTTCTATTGCAGTAGTGACTCACCTGTATTGTAAATAGAAATACAAACAAAAACAGACCTTTGTATTTAACTTCAGAATTATAATGACAGAAGACAGACACAAGTTGAACTATTTCATAGGGCTCCGTCGAATAAAAAACACACGGAAGGGAACGAAAGAAGATCATAATTGCGCGGTGGGGAGAGTGGTGGCGCAGTGATTTGTGCTCTGTGCTTAGGAAGCCGGCGAACCTGAGTTTCATTACTTGTGACGACTAACATTCAGTGGCTAATACATTCCTAAGTGGTCCCCATCCACTACCCTGCACTGACCAGTGATTTTAAGTTCGACACAACAACAACTCCCATGACCGACACAATGTGGAGAGAGGGCCTTCATTCGACAGCGGCTTGACAAAGGGCTGTAAATTATCATGATTTTATCGCAGCAGATGAGAAGTCCACTTCTTGGTTCCCAATGTAGCCAGACGGAGCAACTTTAATTGCACGCCCGCTATGTCCGCGTTGGACCAAAAAATATATTTTTTTTTATTGCCTGAAACCTTTCCTGGAAAATTAAATGGAATGCTCCAGTAATTGTCATTATCCCTCGTGTCGTGAAGTGATGGAGAGTTCCATATATTTTCTTACACTTTTTGAAGTTTAAGTGTTTGGGTTCTTGAGCATAATCGCTGTGACTGTGTTCATGCCTTTAGTTGCAGGATTCTCAAGAAAAGCGAAAGGAAAGGATTGCAAAAACGTACGAGCAACTCCTGAAGCAGATAAAGGACGAGGAGCAGACGGTTATTTGGCCTCTCACGTTCCTCGTGATTCTGCTCTTTCCATTGAATGTCTCTTGCATTGCTCGTGAAGCCTTTAAAATATACTTCACTATTTATTTCCTTCAATTTATCATTAAACCAACGGCTTGTGTTGTCACTCACGTTCTCATTGAGCAAATGACAAGAAGCGCATTTTTTTTACCTTTTGACATTTCGAGCGGTACTTTTGATTGCTACGCTGGTGGCTGTTTGCCTTGAATCGGCGAGATGTTAACTACCTATGCGCTTGGTATGCAGGAGGTCGTGGGTTCGATCCTGAACCTTGATATGCCATGTTATGTGGAGATGACATCTTCTCCCTGTGTGGTGTAGAGTTTTTCTCCAGCTCCTCTGGGTTTTCCTCCAACATTTAGAAACATGGATTTAGAGTTTTTGGCTGCTATGCCAGGCTTCCACATGATAAACCACTTCGTTGCGCTATCATTTGTGGCCAGGTCCAATTCTGATAAAGAGTGGGCCTTACCTGGCTGAAACACAGCTCATGTGTGAAATCCACCATTGAAGAGTTGGTGTTCAGTGGGCTGTGATGTGGGAAGCTGCAATCCATAAATGTGCCTCATAAGAGATGGCTTCAATAAAAAAAAAGAACTTTCAATTTCACTTTGCAATTCAGGACTTAGCACATTTGCATTTAAAAAACGTGTGCTGTATTACCTCTACATCGGTTGTAATTTTCCCATTGCTATGGCGATGTAGAGTTTCTCTGAATAATGAATAGAAAGGAGCATTTTGTTGATGATAGATGTTTATGAGTTCACCCACAGAAGATTGGCACCTCCCCTCCGATTAGCATAGTTGGCTATGCACGGTGCAAAAGACGTTCAACATGCTTACAACTCCTCGTCAACATATTTTGCAGGGTCACAATTTCAAGCAGAATGCCATCTCTAAGTGGTATGTAGCCAGGCATGATAGTTGAGTATCATTTCTTAACGCGATTCAGCACTTTGCAGGCATGGTTGATGTATCATGCAGATCTCAGCCATGTCCTGTTGAACTAGGAGATGCCCAGTTGGTGGTTAGACAGTAAGAGGGTTGATAACTTATCCCTTCCTGATTTCTGAGCGGTTTCCCCCCTCGTGTATGAGGGGTTTTTATTCTTCCAGATACTCTCATTTCCTCCCACATTGACAGTCGTTAAGGAGATTGGCGAAACATCCCAAAGCCAAAGGCCCTTTTAAAATGGGTTTTGAGACTCAGAGCAAGGCTTTCCTGGCTAAATAAGGAACAATATTGTTATAAATAACACGAATAACAACCTCCCCATGATGTCCACCTCCCTTTCCTTCATTTCCCCAGCAACTGAAGTCCTTGCAGATAAAGTACGATGAGAAGTTGAAGCGGCTGCCCACGGAGATCAAGGACTACGTGGAGGGTGGCATGAAGGGGCAGCTCCCCCAGGAGCCGGAGTACTTCTTCCGCACAAACTCACGCAGCTCCTTCGAGTTTGGCTTCTCGGCGTCGGTCGACTGCGACGACGACTCGGTGGTCACGCAGTTCTGAGTTTGCCTCCGGCAGCTCTTGGCGGACCGCCCCCTGGGTGGCTCTCTACGCGTGCCACGTTCGCCAACGTGGCACCGAATGCTCGCCCAAAGAAAAAGAAAAAAGCGATCGCTGGTCTAGTTACGTACTCAACAGGACT